TTGTACGATCATAGAAGAGCCGAATGTCCCCTTTCCCTACCAATGTCGTGTTGATGCAGCTAAGGCTGCAAACCACATCCTCACTGCCTCACAAACTCACATTTCACTCTCATCACTCTCCGAATTCAATGCTCACCTTTTGTCCCAATCATTGGGAATCCTAATTTTATTTTTCCTTCTCATGCGGATTAGAATTCAATAAATGTCTTAAATCATTTTCTCTAATGAATGTCTCACGTGACATTAGAGATTGCCGATTCAATCAAATGATTGTTGGAGATGTAGGCACAAGATACAGGAAGAACACCAAATCACAACTCTATCTTTTGGTGTGCCCTATACCTTAATCTAACAATTCATATAATTATAGTGAAATAATTGAAATGCATTCTCATATAACTAACCCTTTAATTTAATGTTTCATTTGTTTTTGGTTAAACATAATTTCTCAAGCATTGATAAAATCCTACAACTCTAGTAGACAATTAATGGGTAAGAGGATTCATGATACTCATGGTTATTTTCATGTTATAAATCACAAAAGAATTCTTTCTTCTAAAACATCGTTTTAGTATGTGGTTTACTTGAAATCAAATTGATTTAGATATAATAAGTGACCTAAATTCATTCACTCAATAAGCGTCTCATATAATATAAACAATCATCGATTTAAACAAAACCAAAACTATCAAAAATTTTGTCTTCTAATACTTATAAAGGAAAAATATACATGATGTTTTAATTATGAGAATTGTTTTAAATGTTTGCATAGAAATGTATCTTAACAATTTTCAAGTGTTGAAAAAAAATTTAATAATTATAATTAATACACTCATTAATAAATTTGGGTTACTCACCAAATCTAAATCAAACACTAGCTCTGCAGATCTTGTGCACTATAACCCAAGGCATGGTTTGAAGAGAAAGAATAAAACTGGGAATCTTTTAGTTTCTTTGATCTCAAATTCTCAATCTTTTTTCCCCCCTCTCAATGGCATGTCCAGAAAATTGGGATTAATCAAGGTGTGTGATTCAGGAAAGGCATGCAAGGGAAGGACACTGTACCTTTTGGTTGATGAAGGACACTGCTTTATTGATGCGGCCCCACAACGTGACCGACCATTGAAAGCAACTTGCTTCAATATTCAGGAACTTTGCGCCACAATTTCACCAATCCTCATCCCTATAAATCAACCAATCCCAAACCTCGCTTCATGCATTGCATTCATCTCTCTCTCTCTCTCTCTCTCTCTCTCTCTCTCTCTCTTGAAAGCTTGGGAAACCATAGATTGCTCTACTTTGTTTTCTGTAACAGAAAATGGCCAAGTTCAAATCTGCGAGGGTGGTCACAGAGGTTGCTCCTCTGAGGTTTATTTCTGTCACGCGTCGCGGGATGAAGAAAATGCTGGACACCATTGTTGAGGAAGACAAGGATTTTGGTGGTCACTCTTGTCTCTGTTCCTCCACTTGTTGTGGTTCTTCCTCTGTGCTGTGTCTCTCTGAGAGACCAGTTTTCTCCAGCACCTTCTAGTTTTTGTTCCAGCTATTTCTGAGTTTTTTGTGTACTGTGAGAAGAATAAAGGAGGCATGGTTTTGCTGATTCGTGACTCGTCGGATTGATTTCAATAAATAATAGACACGAGACTGACATCACTTAGGTTTTGACTTTTGGTGTTGTTTTTCTCATCCGTCTCACATTCTTCCATTTATATTTGTTTGTGTCTGAGATTTCTCTGCTTTGGAGTTTCATGATTGTTTGGCTCTTCTTGAGTTTATTTTATTTTATTTTTAAATAAATTTAGCCGCAGCAGATGATGTGTATCTAGTTTCACTTGTACTGATTAAAAATGAATTTGCAATGATGGCTGTACTCAGAACAACACCAAGTGCCGATACTTGTTAAAGATATTCAATCTAACAATTTAAATAAATTTATTTATTCATTTATCTTAAATGAAGTATAATTAACTTTATAATTATAGACCTAAATTTTAACAATTCAAATAATATAGTAATGTATAATCATCAATTCCAAATCCTAACAAATGCAATAATTCTACTCTTTTTTTTTCTGTAATTCTTTTGATGCTTCATAAATTGGGTTGCATTAATCACACCATATAAAAGGCTAAAGCAAAGTTATTTATTGTCTATAATTATGGATCGATTCTTACCATATCTTACAAACCAAAATGAGACAAAGGCACATTCCAGAACAAAGAAAAAAGAAACACACACAGCGTACGCAGAAACGAGAGTGACCGTAATCGGATTCAAACACTAGAATCAACTAAGGAACTCACTACTACAAGTACATCACATTTCAGTATTACTGCTGAAGCTGAGGTTGAAGCTTCTTCTTAAGCTCTAAGAGGAAGTCATAAATTTTGTACTGGTCAGGCACAGACTTAGCCACAGTCTCCCTCTGCATGCACCTCTTAGCCCAAGCCACCAGGCTCGGAAACTCGTCGGCGATGCTGAATTTTCCGGTTGTCTCAAGCGTGAAGAACCAACTGTAAAAGGGTATCAGAGCCACATCAACCAGACCAAACATGTCACCACCAAAGAAAGTCTTGTTCCCTAACTCTACTTCCAACTTCTTGAAGCATTCTCTCAGCTCATTCTTCGCTCTTTCTTGCACTTCCCCTGTAGTTGCCCACACCAATCTCCCAGTCGAATATATCTACAATTTCAGAAATTCAAAAACGATGAATAAGTTCAAGAGTTCAATCAATCTGGGATTTTTTGACATTCTATTTGGTTACGCATAAGTGAGAACGAACATGACTGGATTTAGACAAACCTTCTTGTCGATGTAGTCGGCCCAGAATCTGGCATTGGCTCGCTGGTAGGGATCAGAGGGAAGTAATTTGGGGCTTTGATTCCAGACCTCGTCGATGTATTGGAGAATGATGAGAGATTCAGAGATGGGTTTACCGTTGTGAATCAAGACTGGGATTTGCTTGTGAACAGGGTTCATCTTCAGAAGCAGAGGGCTCTTGTTGCTCAAGTCTTCTTCTCTTCCTTCGTACTCTATTCCCTTCTCTGCCAGAGCGATTCGGACCCTCATCCCAAATGGGCTTGGCCAGAAATCCAGGAGAATCACTTCGTCTGCCATTGTTGAACCTCAACCTCGAGATCACAGCAAAGAATCTATGAGTATGGATGTTAGAAGAAAAGCTGGTGATGGTTACATATATAAGTGCAAGGAATCGGCAGGGGAAGGTGGTTTAGAATTCTAGTGGCTTCTAGCTGCAACTTATTCATCGATTCGATTTTGTAATTATTACGTCAGGAATTGCGGCAGCAAGGATATCCAGAACCGAAGGGAACTTCACCTCTTCGTTTGCCACGCAGCTACATACTGTTACGTTCTTCTTCTTCTTCTTCTTCTTTTTATTTTTTTTTTTTCCGGAGATTATATCAACAGATTAGAATTGACCGCTTGCGGATTTATAAAGTAGGAAAAAGCCACGTAGAGCATGAGTAGAAATTAGGAATCAGACTATCAAACTACATAACTATATATTCCAAATTATGTATGTCCCTCATCTCCAATAATATATTACCTCATTTTAGTCTTAAAAATTTCAAATATTCCAATTGCTTTAAGTTATTTTGTTCAATACTATGTTAGAGGGAATAGGCTAAAAAAGTAAGTAATATAAATGATTATAAAATTTTGTAAAAAAAACTGAATAAATTTGTACATTTATAAGATTAATATAATTTTTTTAATTTTACTAAAATTGTATATATATTGAAGGTACACAAACTGCTATTGACATTTAAATATAATGAAAAATTTATCGAAGTGAAATTTCTTTAGAAGAGAAATGGTGGCAGTACGTGAGTAATTTATTGAAACATAATTAGGTGAAGTTGTCATAAAAGTATTAATATGTCATATGTGTGGTTTTCTGAGGAACACTAGCTGCAAAGGCAAGCTCCATGCGGGCGTAAACATGAAATCTTAAATTTTGTCTTCTTGGTTGTGTGAACTCTGAATGGCTGATTATATGCTTTTGCTTCCTTCAATGTCTGCTTCGCTATTCCCAAGTGTGAAACCAATGATCCTGTCTCTTATTCTTTAAATATTTAAGCATATCACTCGCACGTGCATGCTCAAACTCATGTTTATTATAATCCTTACGTCACATATACTTATTTACAATCAAAATTAAATCCATCCATCCCTATTTCTTCATTTTTCCAATCTTCTGTTCCACGTATTATGCGCAGTGCTCGTTATTAATAGTGTTACGTAATCCATGACATGAAATACATTCATTTTCGCGACAGAACTAGAAATTTCAAAATCATTCAATGATTCTCTTGCTTTTATAAGCAATGAGACAATCATTCAAACATTCATTTTTCATACGATTTCACATCTAACTCTCAATAATATTTATGACAAAAAAGTATCTTTCAATAGTTGCATAGATAATTTATATATAAATTAGATATATGATATGTACTTCCTACAGACACAATATAAATAATTGTTAACTAATTTACCCTCATCTTTCAAATCATATCATTGAATATAATAAATATAACATTTGACTTATTCAAAACATTATTCAAAACATTCTCATTGATTACTTAATAAAATATGAATAAACTTTATATTTTGAATGAAGCAAAATTTTAAAAGAAGGCTGCTTATATTGTACACACGACATTAAACATAGTCCTTGGTTTAATTATTAATACTTTTAGCGTCTCAAATGATTCAGCCATGCAGGCCCCCGCAATGTAGAGGAGGTTTTATTTTAAAAAAATTGCATGGGAACCTTCTAACTATTTTAATACATGTCAAGCCTGTAGGATTTGCCTTTCCCAAAACGGGACTGGCAAAACTTGAAGGCATGAAACACCCCTCTTCAGTACGTCATTGAGGATTCAAGGCCGTGAACTCCTAATATTAATTTAACAATATTATTTAACATATACTTTAAAATTCAGTTCTCGTATAGCAAACACATCCTGGCTTCCGCTCCTATATATACCTGAAGCAATCTCTTGATTTTTTCCACAGACCCAACGCAAGAAGCTTGTGTTCTTAGTTTAATCAGTTTCTCTTCTCAAATTTGAGCTCATTTCAAATCACTTAAAAGCTCATCAGCAGCAATGGCTTCCTTCCAAAACTTCAACTTGGAAACCCAGATCCCAGAAGACGTCCTTATTGCTCAAATCGTGCAGCTTCATGCAAGCATAACAAAGCTACAATCCCTCGGACCTTCCATGCAAGTGAACAGTCTCTTCACTCACCTCGTCAATCTCTGCACCGTCCCTTCCTCCATTAACATCCAAGCTTTGCCCCATGAGGTGAAGAACATGAGAGAAAGTCTCATTAACCTATGTGGCCAAGCCGAAGGCCTTTTGGAACTAGAATTCTCATCTTTTCTTGCCCAAATTCTCAAACCGTTGAACAACCTCACTCTCTTCCCATACTATGGGAACTACGTTAAACTAGCAAACCTAGAGAATATAATCCTCAGAGACAATGTTTTGGTCCATCCCAAGAAGGTAGCCTTTGTGGGTTCTGGTCCAATGCCTCTCACTTCCCTCATAATTGCCACACATCACTTGGTGTCCACACACTTCGACAACTTTGACATCGACAAGAAAGCCAACGAGGCAGCTCATAGGATCGTTGCTACAGACTCAGAGCTCGAGAAGAGGATGAAGTTTGAGACACAAGACATCATGGAAGTGAAAGAGAGGTTGGGGCAATATGACTGTATCTTCTTAGCAGCTCTTGTGGGTATGAGCAGAGAAGAAAAAGTGAAGATTTTGGGACCTGTGGGTAAGTATATGAAGGAAGGAGGGTTTTTGCTTGTGAGAAGTGCAAGAGGGGCAAGAGCTTTCTTGTACCCCGTTGTTGAGGAGCATGACTTTGGGAATTTCGAGGTGCTTACCATATTTCATCCCACAAACGATGTGATCAATTCAGTTGTTCTTCTTCGCAAGCCTACGGTTTAGATTTTTCAACAGGCAAGCATTTAATTATCAAATTTCCCTGTCATTGTGTTTTGTTCTTTGTTTTGGGTTGGATGGGGTTTTGCTTCTATGCTATTTATGTAGGTGTTTAATGTTTCATCACTAATGCTTGCCTCCTTGCTCTTTCTTCATGGTATGTTTGGCAGGATATGTACTAATAAAAGTGTTAGCCCAGGGTCTTTCACAAAGCAATTTACATTTCGATGCTACAAAAAATGTAATTTCAAAGATTTGGGTCTTAAATTGGTGATGTAAGACTATTGAGAGTTGATTAATACCTAAGTTGTTTTTCATAAATTGTTATAACGTATTTAGTACATTGTAAATTGGAATCTATGTATTCCTCCCATTCAATTACTTAAAATTCTAAAATATAATGATAAAAAAATGTAACCGCATGTGAAACACACATCGTATTGGCTGACGCGCAAGAGGTGCTGGTTGAGCCTACTCGTGATGGAATTGGCTGATGCTTTCTTTGTCTTGTGTTGAGCTTTGTAGTCTACCATTTGCCATATGTTTGTATTGACTTCCAGTCTTTTGTTTATTGAAGTTCATTTCAGGTCCCAAAAAAAAAAATAAAAAAATAAACACACACATCGTATTTTTCCATTTTGTATGATCTCCAAATACAGGGTCTATTTGTTTGAGAAGAGTTGCCTTTTTTTAATAGGAAAAATATTGTTAATAAAAAAAGGCAAGAAAAAATAAAAAGACGGGGGAAAAAAAAAGTGTTACCCTTTAGTTAGGAGAAAACCTAACCTTTTAGTTCCTTAAGTTTCACTCAATTTGCAAATTGGTCCCTTTATTTATTTTTCTAACATTTCAGTCCCTAAAGTTTGAAAGGGTGAAGTTAAGCACAGAGCCATAGACGGCTCCAACAGGGATTAAACGCCGTTAAGTTTCTGCCAAGATGTTATATAAATGTTGAAATGGCTAACACCTGGGATTATGACTATGAGTGACCAAAAAAGTAAAAGCAAAATACAAAACAAAACCAATGCCCAAGCTCAACGCGCTAAAACACGTACAGAAGTAAAAGGAGTTGGGGCACCAAACGAAACTCTGGGCAGAGACGATTGAAAGCTGCGAAACTCGTTGGCCCCAAAATCATTGCCGCCGCCAAGCCATTGGTTATCTTCGGTAAACACATCGATTGGCTTCAATCTCGTTGCCTGGACTTTATTGTTCCTGATCGGAACGTTGCTGCGGATATGCTGCGCAGGGAGAAACATTATGTATACTTTCTTGTGGGCAGAGATCAGAGAACCAGCCCTTGGATGGCTCATAGGAATCATAAGGCAGGAATGTAGACTTGCGATTCCGAACTTCATCTATGAACTGAAACTGTGCGAGGAATTCAGATCTGGGTCCATCAAAATGGGCATCTGAGGGTAGAGGTGGTATTTTATTTTGTAAGCCGTCCGGTCCAGTTTAGCATACTAGATTTTCTCACACACACACACACACACACACACGTATATAGACAAAATTTATATATTACCCTTATATGCTTAATATGTTTATTACCCTTACATGTATATATACAAAATTTATATATTATCCTTACACATATCTTGGTTACCATCCGTGTGTATGAGAGCTAAGCTTTTGAAAATATTAAAAAGATTAAACATTTGTTGGAAGAAGAAGATAGATAAAGTTCATGTCTATTCTAACTTCATGAAAGCCCTTACATTAATATACAACGAATTTTCTACTAATTACCTGTAAATTGTTATTATCAATAAAATTAAAGATTTCGTTATGAAAGATTGAACAATCACTTTTGATCATGTCTATAGAGAGGCAAACAAATACACAGGCTGGTTGACTAATCAAACTCCTATCAAAAATTTCAATGTTCAAATCTTTAATACTTCCCCCCTAAAATGTAAGGATTTTTTATACGCTGACATGACATAACATGTCTACATCATTTTCTCGTGACCTTTTTATTCAAAAAATATATATTTTATATTTAATCAAATTATAACAAATAAATCTCAATATATTAATAAAATCAATGATAAAAATTTATTATAAAATAAATAATTTATAAAAAATTCACATATTTTATAGCACATTAAATATATAAAATTAAGTATATAATATTATATATATATATTCACTACAAATTATACAAAATAATGTTTTTTTTTACCATCAAAATAATCTTTTTTTTTCAAATTGCAAATTTTTGAAGAAAATATTGAGAAAAATAAGATTTCAATCCTCCAAGAAATCTTTAACATCTGAAGCTTCTCTTAAATATTATTAATCGTATACGAAAATACTAAATCTAGATCTAATATAATATGAGATGGCAGAGCAAAAAACAAAAATACAAGTCACTCAGCAATGACTAAAATCAGATAATTAGTCAACTACATTGGGGGCAAGGCCAGGGCCCCATTTTCAAAGTAAATGGTGTACTCTTACCAGGAAGTGTACAGTCATATTGTTAATAGAACGCATCCACAAGTCATGCAATTGCAAACACTCATTTTCGTGGATGGAAAATTTGTCCCTCACCAATTCTACAAGAAAAAGACAAGGATTCCGCGCTGATACATGCCTAAACAGATATTTTACAAAATGAATAGAATCTCTGAAATGCTCTCGAAAAAATAGTGCTGCACGGCCTCCATTAAGAAAGGAAAAGTTATGGCAACACTTCATATCTGAACTGCCATATGAATATGTTGATAGAGCATCTAGAATAACAATGTCAGTTTTGGGTGAAGGGAAGGCTTGAATCACAATCTCCTGCTGCTGCTGCCAGCCCTCGAACAGTCAGAATATAACGATGCCCCATTGAGCATCCCAGTAAGAATATCAAAGTCACCAAGACCATACGTAATACATATTATGAACACCATGGCTCGGTAGCAACATATGTATGCTGCACAAATTTGTAAACTATGTGAAAAATTGCTAGTGTACCTAACTCAAGGGTTGGAAATGAATCTGCAGAATAAAATAGGCCTCCTACTTACCATGCTTCACATCACGGTCCTCCAAGTTATGCCTTTTCTTTGCTAAATAATCGGAGACGAACAATCAGATCCTCTTTCAATGACTCAGGGATCTGTGATATGAAAGCTCCCTTGGCCTCACTTATTAGCAACTTCCTGCATTGCAATAGCACACATCCTAGTCATGTTATGAACCAACCACTATATATAAGTGAATCAAACCTCTGGCTGCCTATTTGTTAAATTATTACAGAAATAGCAGTGCACAGGAAATCACTTGAAAAATAAAAAACACATCCTGGCAGAATACTGAGTTTCTTGATGCTAAAATAATATTCTGACACTTCAGCTGTACGTTGTAAAATTTGTGAGCTTCAATTATGATTAGTCATTGCTCTTTATTGTAATCAGTATTTTCATAGACGAATTACACAAGGTATTTGGAAGCATGGCTGGGGCATGCAGTGTAGACAAAGGCATTGGGACAAGGCAACAGTAGGATTCAATGCAACTTGCCAAATGATGAAAGGGCGGTCGTCCGAATGTCCAGCTGGCAACACCCGACACCTTTCTTGTGGATGCAAGGCTCACTTAAGGCACCTCGCATTATACAAGGACTATTTGCATTGAATCATTGGGGATCATAAGGATACTGCAAAATAGCTGAAGCTTGCATTGAATCATTGGGGACCATAAGGATAAATAGCTGAAGCGTCTGGAGCATACGAGGATGGAGTTGAAAGAACATATTGTGGAGAAAATACATAAGAAAGCAACATATGACAGACCACAGGATCTGGACTGGGACTTCTTTTTTCCCCCCTCTTAAAAAAAAGGGGGGTTTTTATACTCTGGTGCACTAATGTTCCTTGAAACATGGCTGCTAGCAAGCTTGTTCCATCTTAAACGGTTGTAAAGTGAACATCATAAATAGCTTCAATAGTGCACTGCTCAAAATTATTGTACTGCTTGAATATATGTTAAATGCTTCCACGATAATTCATATTCATTTATTCTATTTCTATAGCATATTTTCAGCTTTTCTTCCCATTTTGATGCCTTGCTTCCACAGGTCATTACTCCTACTATATCTGGCTGCAACAAGCTACGGTTTTCTTATTCAACTACGTTGGGGCCTAGTGAAGTGTTAATCTTGATATAATTTCCCTTGGGACCCATGGTTAAAATGCTCTTATCAAACTTTACTACAAAGGTTCTTTTCAATGCTGAATCCATTATTCTTCTTGCAACTCTAATCTCACCTGAAACTGTATCTCTGTAATTGTACTGATTCTTTGTTAGTTTCTCCACATTAGGATATTTTTCTTTTTAGGGGGGGATGGGATGGATGAATCTTTTGCCTGACACCTCCGCTTCCCCCGCCCCAAGAAAAAAGTATCCACATAGAGCATCCATGAAAATTTAAAAGCATGGACTTTCTGTTTGCAGATCACTTTTTGAAGTATAGATGGGATAACTTGTGACAATCATGAACATCCAACATTTTATATTATCAGGTTACGCAACAAAAAGTTCATGTCAAAAGGGCAAAAAAGTTTAAACAACAACAACAACAAGCCTTGGGGTCGGCTACATGGATTGCAAGATGCCATTGTGCTCTATCGTTTATCAAGTTTTTAGGAATATTATTAATTAAGAGATCGCGTTCAACAACTTCCAAGAGTGTTCTCTTAGGCAAAAAAGTTTAAACGTGATAATATAATTTGGTTTTCAAACAACATATTGACCAAGAATCACAAAACACCACAGCATATATAGAAGAGTCAAAGAAGACAAGGCAACAAATATTATGCCACAGCTTTTTCACGCATCAGGTGGATTACAAAACAAAGATAATGTCTACATCTTCACCATTAACAAAAGCTAAGTCTAAGAAAATACGTTTACTTTTTTCTCTGTTAACATCAAAATACTCAGGATGACCACCAAAAAACATGCAATTATAAAAAGGGAAAACTGATGTAGTGACAAACATCTGCCAGTGAAACCATTAATATTGTATTACCTAGGAAGATTTTACCATAGCTACTTCATAATACATCCAGAGAAGGGGGGTTATGCTCATATGCTCAGGCCTCAGAAATCACATAGATCTTTTCCCCTACTTTTTTTAGATTTTATATCACAAAAAAAAAAAGCCAGTGAACATGTGTACACATTGGGACATGTTAATATGAACAGCCTTAGAGATACCAGCTGTGGGTCCCAACAGTCTTGAAAAACAATCCAATGCCATTGAAACTTGATTAATGATCCAAACCCAATATACCAAAAGTATCATTCTGAGGCTTGCTAGTATTGACTTAAATTTCCATATCAATATCAGTCCTATTTCATCTAAAGCTCCTAAATACTAGAATATCTTCATGAAATATATAAATTAGCCAACATTTCCACACAACATTATGTTTATATAAACCTCGAAGAAGGTACCAAATGGTGACCTCTTACATTACTTCAAAGCTTTCTCCACAAGTCTCCACCCAAAAAACAAAACACTGCACTGGAATAAGATATATTTTCCATCTTCACTTTCACAAAATGTTGCTTCTCATAATGCGTGAAAACTTTATTTTGAAACTTTATAGCCCATCACTTGGCATATAGGCAAATTTTTAAACACATTCCCCCAGTACCAATTTGAAGCTAACTGAAAAATGACAGGAAAATCTACAAATTTTATTGTAAGCATGATTGTGCATATCAAATCTAGAGAGCAATCTAAAATCTGATTAGACCTACTTTATTTCATCTTCAATTGATGAATTTCCTGCTTCTTGTGCACGTAACCTCTTTCTAGAAGACATATAGTCATACACCTTGTCTGTCCAGCCACATGACCTTAAAACTGACTTTGCCTCTTTTCCAAGCCTGAGTAATGTTTTGAAAATACATCAAAATAAGGCATATAACAAGTACTTCAAAAGGCATGTGATGTACTGATTGTTTCATCAATTAAGCATGAACAAAGGCATAACAAATTGGACATGAAAAAGAATCCCATAAGATCAAGATAACCTAACACCAAGTACTACATAACATAACATAACATACTTTAGCACCCATGAGATAACTGAAAAAAAAATGAATATTTATCAATAAAAAGAAATGGCGGAACCTTCAATGACATAAAATGAACTCACAACTTATAGTTCAAAAAGGAGAAGCCAACTAAGAGATCAAATGGCACGTGCCTGGAGATGATCAGGGTAGCATAAGCCCCACATTGCATAGTATGGAATACTCTATGGGTTATTCATATGGCTTATTTCTCCCACCAAAATAACTAGCTTTTGGGAAGGGTTCTCCATTTGACTTGGGTGCCCATCAACATCACACTCCGAAAATCCCATCAACATAAATAACCAAAAAGTAATAGTTGCAAATCTTAAGCATCAACTGAATAACAGATTTGAAACACAACTAATATTGATTGTATGATAGGGATTAAAAAAGAGCCAAAAGTAGATGATAAATCATCAATATATATCTGTAAAGTAAGAATAGCCAGGCCTTACTTAAACAAAATAGCCCTTAGATTCTAACATTCTAACTCATGTTAGATGAAAGATTTCGGAAAGGGCACAGTTAAGACATATCAGACCTGTCTTTAAGTTCCTGAACTCTTGCTTCAGACTGATCATCATGTGCAAGCAAAATGCTGGTAGCCTCTGGTTCCTTCCTCTTATTCTCCAATGAATTAGGTTTGTTGTTGAGACCATTGGCTTCTAGCTTATGGTTGTAATTTCCTGATATTGCTCTGCTTCTCCCAGTGTCATCCATAAGATCTGACTTTCTGGGATATTTTTCAACAGAATGAATACTAGTGTTTTTACTTGTTAACACTGAATCCTTCCTTTTTAAGTTGTCAACAGCATCTACTTTATTTTTTTCAAAACCATTCCTGATTGATGAAGGATCTTTCTTCGCATTCTCCAAAGAAATTGAGTCTTTTACATGTCCATTAGTTACTACAGGCTGATTCAACGGAACATCAACTTTCCCATTGAAACTTTCATGGCCTCTTTTGGAAGTAGAATTTCCGTTAAAATTAAACTTCACTCGGGGGCTAGAAGGCTCTTTACCAGTCTTGGACATGGCAGACATGTCCTTCCAGGAAGATTGTTGAGAACTTAATTTTGTATGCACTACTTTTGGTGGTCCATCATATTTTGGGCATTCACATGCCTGACTACCATTAATGTGATAAGAGTCCTGAGACCTTGAGCCGTTCGAAGCAAAACCATTACTTACAGGCACAGGCCTTTGGTTAGTGCGAGAAAAAAAAAGTATGTAAACCTTTTCTGACAAAACTTCTTTCAGGGTTGCAAGTGAGACAGAAGAATCATCACAGCAATACCACCGGCCTTTTGCATCCTGTACACAAAATACATAATTAAGTTGCATTATCTAGACTGCTGAGAACATGATATGCGTATAGGTGAAGAATATATTAATAGACCTTTATATAAGCATAATAATGGCCTGATTCTGGGGAGTATCCAGAATGAACAATAGTACCAAAGAGCCTATAGTCTGGCATTGGATCCTGCATGAGCACGATAGAATTAGAAAAGAACCAAGTTGAAAACCATATTATCAAAGGAAAAAAAAAAGAAAAATAAGATCACTTGAGGCAATATTGGATAGGAACAATCAACCTGACAGAATTCAGCCAGGTTAAAGGCTTCTAAACATTCTTAGGGGGGTAGCCTTAACCTAGCAAATTAGGCTTTATAGCAAGTGCAGCAACAACAACAAGCCTTTATCCCACTAGGTGGGGTCGGCTACATGGATCGTAAGACGCCATTGTGCTCTATCATTTATCAAGCTTTATAGCAAGTGCAATAGCATAAAAACCTCCAGGGCAGAATATCCTACAGTCTTGATTAGGATGAAATTTTATATTTCATTCATAAATGGTCCATGGATTATAACCAACGTTGTGCTCACACAGGAGCACAGCAGCCAACTTGTCCTTATCCTATTCATTGTATCTCTATAATAAGATGTCAATACTTAAACAAAAACAGCAAAACACAAATAATCATTAACAACAAATAGGATGCTTTCTCGGACCAGGAAACAAAGCTCTATACCCCGCCTTTCTGAAAAGCACATAGTCTGCGAGACTAAAACTCAAGAGTGCGAAAGAACTCATCATAATTATAATTATCTAAATAGCACACATTGGAAATGAGCACCTTGCAGTAGTTAATACAAAACGAATACTTTACCCACCTGGCTTTGTTTGCACATGAAGCTAGAAAGCACCAAAATGTCTTCAAATGCAACAGCCTTATCGATCTTCCCACCCAATATGCCCTCAAATCTCTGACAACCAAATTCAATGGAACATCCTCATTCAAAGGCAAAGATGCAACAAACTCACGCAATCGAAGATAAAACAAAACTGCACCAAAAAAACCAACCTTAAGTTGTATGACGAGGACATTAGGGGCTTGAAGTATAGACATTTGTTTCTTAGCCGTCACCAATTTCTTGCAACTGAAAAACAGTAAGTTTGTTAATCAAACAAGATCAACAAAGAGAACCGCCGGGAAAAAAATTGGAAAGACTAAAACACTCACTTGTCACATTTGTACTTGTTATTCCCATCTAAAATCTCAGGCTGAAAGAACTTTTGCATAGCATCTTTGAGCGAATTGCTATGTAAAACATCAAGACTGATATCCATAATTTCATCCACCTTATTGGACTCATATCCACAAGAGAGACACTTCACCTGGCTCTGCAAGGCTCCCCCAAATATCTCCTTCACAACAGTATTGCAGCCGTTACCATTGACAGCAGTATCGCCCCCTTTGCGCCTCAACTTCTTGAGGCGAAGGCAGGTGTTGTGGCAGGCATCGATAACGTACCTCAGGAACTCGTGAGCATCCTCCTGACGCCCGCAACGAAAGTGCTCGGCGAAAATCCTGAGACAGCTCTGGATCTTCAACGGAGCATCTTGGGCGAGATCCACTCTCAAAGAACGAACAATTCGTTTCTCTAGCAGACAAAAGGGGCAGTCCCGCTTCCTTTCCTCCGAAGCAGAATCGCCTGAATCCAAACGCAGAACAAAAATTAGGGCACAAATTGAACAAAAACCTAAAAAAATAAAGTAGACGAAAATTAAGGGTGGAAGTAAAAAGGGGGAAAGATGCGCACAAAGGGAAGAGTGCTGGTTTCGAAGACAGAAATTGGCCAGAGGAGGAGTGTAGGTAAGACACTGGAGGACGCTGTTGAGGTAGCAAGAGTTGCCGAGGTTCCTGAGGCCCACAGGGTGATCGGTCTTGCGCTTCTGAGTGAGAAGACTCGGCAGCCAAGTCATCTGCAATTGCAAGGCCATCAACGACGACGACCTTCGGCCGCGTGCTCCAGTGCATTGGACGCCGTCGTCGTGGGAAAGATAAACCCTGAGCAGCAGTAGCAACGCCACCACGACCACCGCAAACGCATCGCTCTCTAGGTCCTTTCTTAGTTGGTTCGCGCTCCTTCGGTCTCCAGCGCCTTCTTCGAAACACGAAAAGTAAACACAAAATGTCCACAAACACTAGTGGGAGTCGCGGATCAAATTGGACGAAATTTTCAAACCTACCTTCCCTACTCAATTTTTGTCATTTGTTGGGAACATCTTTTCATTTTTAATCTTAATCTTTTCGCTGATGTTAATTCGTTAGCGAATATGGTCATCTCTGAAGAGGTGAATATTCAAACCTACGCGTCTGGTTATTGATCTGTAGTGTATAGAGATAACTACCATCAAGCATAAAAATTTTCTTTAAAAATTACAAATGTTTTTCTCAAAAAAATTAAGTATATAGTAAATAATAAGTTGTGAACCTCATAATATATCTTATTTATTCTATAAAATAATAATAAAATGTGAGATTTAATAGTATAACTTGATAATTAGTAATTAGTAAGTAGTATTATTTTTCTGGTAATGTAAGTAATATTACTTTTTATTAGTAGTGAAATTTACTTTTAACTATATAAGTGAATCTCTTTAAGTACGGAAATTTTTAATGAGATAAAGCTTGAATTTCATTTCTAATGCAAAAATATAAAATTGACGTATTTTTAATAGAAAAATCAACCATAATATTAAGTCTATAACAAATTACAATATTTATAAATAATTAAAAATGAAAAATGTGCTTCACATTCATGTTCCAAATTTGCATGTCACAGGCTTAGTCGAATGGATTTGGATAATTGGATCCATCAAATGAAGTCCATCAATTACGCTTCAATTGGAAAATATTAATCATGACAATGTGATTTCTCTCAACACCATTAAATCACAATGTAATAGTTAATACTCCTGAGATTTATCATTTGAAGAGACACAAATTCTTAGTGAAATAGAAAAGGAGTGGGTTTTTTTTTTTTTTTACAAAAAGGGGGGGTGGCAGTAACGGTAAAAACTACCAAGACAGGTAAAATGAAAATCATCTGTTTCCGACATCCCCACCAAAAATAAAACTTATCCAAACAAAGGATAAGTTTGTGAGATCAAATAAAAATAACCTTTTTCTATTTATATACTCGTGCATTAAGAAAATAATATAAAAAAAGTATAATTATTACATATAAAATTTGCATCTCAGTTTTGCTTTCATTTTTTTTTTCAAATGCAATAAATGGATTTATATTTGTAATGTAAATAACTTGGGTGTAGATTCAAAAGAAGCAAATATTGAATTGACGCTGCTTAATGCATTCAACTGCACACAAACTACACATAGGACCTGTTTAATGAACTAGAAATGATCTGAATCAACAAGACAAAAAATGTTTTGAAGAAACCAGATTGTACAAGACAATAACAGGTATTTTATCTGCAGCTCTACCCAAAAAACAAAAAATTGCCCTAGTTACCAGCTCCTGGTCAGTCATTTTCAATCTCCTGAAGAGTGAAATACCATTTGCTAAGCATCTCTTTTTCTCATGTTAAGCCACTAACTGTAATCTTCATACATTACATTTGACCTGCATGTTATTTTTCCCTGTCTAGAATCAGTAACAACAGACTAAAAGGCAGAATTCCGTATCGATGCCTGCTTAGACAAAAGTCAACAGATGAAAATACAATGCCCTCTAGTGATGACAGGAGAGAACTGTCTTCATCATCTATGTGTATCAGTAACAAGAATGGACACTGAAATAGAGGGAAACAAAACTTCTCTTCAGCGCTTGTTTGGTACTGAGAATAAAATGAGATCAAATTGGTTGGGGGGGGGGGAGTGATTTTGAACATAAATTATGATATGATATTATGTCTATACTTTACAAAAAACAATAAAAAGAAAATAAAGATTATTGAATATAGATTATAACGTAAATAGACATTGCAAAAAGTTGGCATGAGAATCTCATTATTCCTTTGGACAAACCAAACAGGGCCTAAGGAGGGAAATTGTAGGGAGAAAAGGGATATTTTCAAGTGCAATACATACTACCAACCTGGAGAATAAGTACATATTTACTTGTTTGAAAACCGAAGATTCTGCCCAGGAGAAGATTCAGCAAGTTCAGTATCATTTGAAGTATCTCGCGTAGCTTCCTTTTTTAACTTGTGATTGTTATACGCTGCAACTCCTACAATGGCTGCATGGAAAATATTTCAGTAATGATCACAAGTGCTTTTACTTTCACTTGTTTTGCAGTTATAAAGGTTTGAAACTGCTTTATCTCCCAGCCTTGAATTTCTATTTCTCAATAAATATTTGCATAATTTAACTTTGAAGTTGATCACATCCTTTACCATGCATTCGCATCAAATGCTTACCAATTGCATAGCCAAACAAATTTATGATAGTCAATTTTGTATCAGCAAACAGAACAGCAGAGAGTAAGACCACCACCCAATCCTTGACAACTCCAGCAACACGAATGGTCAAAGCACTTGTGTGTGTAATCACAAGGAAAACTGATAAATTAAGAGCAAAAGTACAAAGACAGTTGAGGATTAGCACGGTAGGTGGGAAGTTCCATGATCCATGTTCTTCCATCTTCGTTTTCTCTAAAAAAACCCATGGAATGAATAGGCAAAGTGCACTGCAGTATAACCCAAAATTATTTTCAAAGGTATTAGTTTTCTGCATATTCAATTGAAAAAAAAAAATCAGTTTTTAACAGTTAAAATTATAAGCACAGAACTATTACCAAAATAACAATTTTTAAGTGTAACATGTACCTGCAAGGACTAACGTAATACATAACAGAGATGGGATTCAACTTCAGACCCTTTCTCTTCACGAAAATTTCCATGAAGATAAGTCTTAGAGCTTCACCAACAACACCACCCATTTGGTAAATTACTCCAACCCAGTTTATATTTATCTCTCCATAAGAAGCCACTAAAACACCAAAACTAATCACTGACATGATTACAAGCATTCTGCAGCTCATCACCTCAAGTCCTGCAGCTACTCCAAGGACAAAAACAGCTACAGGCACTGTCATGAAAGATAGAGATGGTGATTATACAGTTAATTTCCACACTGAAGGAATAATAATCAGATGCAATAATCAACAACCATGTACTCTACAGAAAATACCGATCATACTTTCCATCAAAATATATCATAATTGCCTCAAAATATGTAGCTATTGTGGATGAGCAACGGAATCATCACCAACTTACTGATTGCCTTCAACATTTGGGCAAATGATACAGAAATATACAGATAGGCAGTATTTCCCAGCCAGAGAGTCATCGCAAACATAGCCCCAATTGGCACAACTGACGTAACATATCTGAAATAATTAAGATCTAATTAAAGTTTGCTGGCAACTTCAACAACAACAACAACAAACCTTATCCCAATTGGTGGGATAATAAGTAAAAAAACTTTCATGTTAACTAAATAGCCTCAATATCAATAATCTTGATCCATAAATATAATCACAAGTCATTCAGCGAGAAAATTCATACAAAAAAAAAAAAGAATTTGACAAAAGATGAAAGTACCTAAATAAGGAAATCCATAGTACTAAAGCAAGATAAATAATAAACGGATGAGCACAGAATTGATAAGTAGCACGTATTTTCAGTTGTCCAATCAAACGGTGGCAGCCGAACTTTCAAAGTATAGAAGTTACCTAGTAGAGCATTCATCAAACAAGGCTAGAATCTACATTCAGATTTAACCATTCAAACATACAAAAAGTGTCACTATTCACTTCACGTTAAATGGTATTGTTGTGTGTCACTATTTACTCCAGAAAGAATAATATTTACAGTTTTAAATTATCACACCCCCATGACTATGTCCCAACAAAACATGGAAACAATTCACTTCTATAAACCACGGGCATGCAAATGCTACCCTGAGTTCTAAAAAATTATTTCACTTCTCCTAAACTTCCTTTCTTAAATAAATAATTAATCAATGCTGTCCAAATTTTTCTGATTCGGTAATTGTTTTATGAACTCACTAATAAAATTTCAAGTGAAGATTCACAATATATTCAGTCACCACCAGATAGGGAGAAAGTGATAATATCTATAATAAATATACCATAAATCAGATATGTTACACGGAAAATTTATTTCTTTACTCACATTTCAGTAGTCATTCCCTCCTCAACCTTCATAACCTGTAAAAAGAATATTAACGCTCTGAATTTCATAAAAGTAAATGGTTGAAAATTACACCAAGCGTAATCACAAACCTTTAGAATTTTGGTTAATACAAAACACAGAACAGAGGAGAAGACCATATGAAGTAGAGTCAATGCCAGAGGATAAGGAAAATTTATTTCCTTAGAGGACAAAACCCACTGCAACCAACAATTTGAAAAGAAAATGTGTCAGCAACATAACAGAGGTTTTAAGTATATATTCATTGAGAACTTCTATCAAATCAAGCATCCATGATAAAGACAAATGATAAACAGCTAAAAGTTGAAGACATAAAAAATTAAGGGCAAAAATAGAACAAGAATGAAGCCAAATGCTTTCAGCGTGAATTCTAAAAGAAATTGAAGCAATAAGACCAGTAACAAAATCCAAAGAACAAGCTAACGCAAGGTAATATTAACACCAGATTCTAACAATGGCAATGAGACAGACCACAATAAATTCTGAAACGTGGGTTTTCAAACTCTGCAAATATATGCCTCCATTCGTTTTCATTCATTCCATCTCAGAAAAAGACAATAATCAACAACATAACTAAGCAATTACTTCACTAATGGCCGAGAGACGGGGCCCCTTATTATCTCATCTAATTATTTGAAGAATTCTCAAATAAACCACCAATTGGGTAACTGAAAAAACTGAAGAACAATTGGGGAATAACCAAACTACATGGATTTTTTATGAGAATAAATTATTAAAATACCGAAAAATACGAGATCTCCCATAGTTTTCAGTGGAAGGAGCCAAAGAATGCAACTTCTTTTCACAAGAAAGATACGAATTAATAGAGTCGAAGAATGTGTTGAAGGGAACCTTATTAAAGAAGATTTGGCCGCTGGAGAGAGCAATGTAGAGGAGAAGGTAACTATAGGTTAGAAGACCATCCTTCCTCTGATCCGCCATTGATGCTACGATGAAAGTGAAATGTTTAGCAAGTTATTTCAGCTTCAGTGACTCTTGCGTTCTTTTGGTTCGCTCTTGTGTCCGCTGCATCTTCAAACTTCGCCGAAGAAAAGTAAATATATGGTGGAAGGCCTCCAGAAAGTGGAAGCACTGAGAAAATTTGGCTATTGTTGACCTTTAATACTAGCTTCTCTCTCTTTTTTTTTTTTTTTCTTTTACATTATGTTAAACTCTCATATAAAAAATTTAATTATTATAAAATTTATTGATGATAGAATTAAATTGTATTGACAATTAATAATTTCTTAATGTAAAACTTAATTATAATTCTCTCTCTCTCTTTTTTCCATCAGATTCATTCTTACAAAATTGTCAACCTTAACTCTTCCCCCCTAGTAAGGTCTATTAATCAAGACATACAATTAAAAAAAAATTAGAGTTCATGCTTTCCCCATCGAATTCATGCATGTTGAATAATCTTGCAATTTTTAGTGGGGGAATGTATTGACTATTGAGTTGTTCTTATAATATTAAAAATTATATTCCGTCAAAAAATATTATAATGATTGACAATGGATTCATTTGTTATTATAGAGAAATCAATTTCAATATATTATACACGATTTATATAAATAAAAAAATCACACACGATTCATAAAATCATTAATCATTAATTAATTGACTATATTTTTCTTTATTTTTATTAAAGCATATCTTCCACACAAAAAATGTTCGTACTTCGTTAATATGTTGCGCTTTTTGGTGACGCGCATAAAAGAAAGTTATTCATATTAGACCAAATAAAGCTTTTAAAAAATAACTCCTCCGATTTATTGATCCGAAGGGGAGTACACAGTTTTCCTTTTTCTTTCTGTTGGCTCTTCACGTCTTTATTGATCCCTTGTTAACCTTTAGCCGAAAGCATGCGTTAAATAACTCCTCCGATTTTGAATCAATGAGAAGTCGCTTGGAAAATGTCCAATAGGTCATCTGATATCTTCTCAAGCTAGTCATAACTCATACATACAAGCCATTCAGAACATCCATTCTTGATTTTTATGTATAATATATATCCAACCTATCATTAAGAGATGATAAAGCTGGATGAACAAGGCATGCCAGAGCAGGAAATGTCACCACACTACACCATTTGGGGTGGAAATATCGTGTATAGTCACTATGCTCATAGCTCATGTGCAAGATCATGGCTTTTCCAAAATGCTTCAAACCAACCCAGATGTGCAAAGACTCATTAAACGGTATTGCAGACAACATGGTGAAGAATGAAAAGAATAACACCCTACCTTGTCGGCAGGAACCGCGTAAATTTCAAGCTGCCTGTTCTGAATTGTGCAACGCATGCTGAAAGTAATATTGTGAACCGAGGATCAAAAGGCACAATTTAAGAGATTTTATGTCTCATTTGCATTTCCAGAAAAGATGCATTTTTTATGGAGAGATTATCGGATAAATTCGGTCTACAAATTCCAGTCGTAAAGATATACTTATGTGTGACTCGTATGATTATGTGCTGCTTTATAATTAGCTGGGTCTGCCTATCTTTGATAGAGCAGTTAATCAATATTCAACTTGTTTGATGCATAATAATTTTCCAATGAAGTTGTTGATATATGTTTTACCATTTTATATGTCAAAAGTAACAGTACAAAGCATGTTCAATTGCGAAGAGTTACCGAGAAGCTCGATATAAATTTGTCACTAAATCATCTCATGCATGGTTTCAGGTCATCTTTTTCGGCAGATTGTCATTCCATCTCCAATTGGCACCTAGGATCCAAAAGTGGTATACCATTATAAATCTCCATTATAGGGTCTCTTCAAAATTGTGTGAGAAATAGGAAGGCAGTATACCCACCATACTGATGCTTACGCGCTTGTCTTCGACTAACTTTTGATTAAAGTTTCTAATGCTGATGGTTTTAGGGTCATTTACCTGCACAGTAGAGCATTAAGGGTCAGGTTTCATTCTCATGCACACAAAGTTAAATACTAAATAATATACTCACCAGTGGGTCAGCAACCTTGCCGTGCCAAAGAACATTGTCAATTACAACAAGGCCTCCGACTCTCACCTGCAATAAGAAGTTGCTAACAATATACTTTGAACAATTCACAGGAAACCACATAGGAAGCTTAAGATTAATGTTACAATCAAGTGGCTAGTTGTTACCAGCTGCAGCAGTAGTTCAAAGTATTTCTGAGTCATCCTTTTATCAGCATCAATAAATGCAAAATCATAGCTGCACAAAGAAGCAACATTTCTTAAATTCCAATTTACTGATTTTATGTTCGACAAAGTTCACATTACACAGCTTTGATCAGTAGGCCACAAAAGCTCTGTGTTGAGAAAACAACTCATGCATAGGAACTCAACCAGTATTGCGTACCAAATAGCATGAAAAAACAAACTATAATGATTCCGAGGATCCCTATACCTGCCAGCTTCACCATCTAAAATTAAAGACTGTAGGGTATCTGCAGCAAGTCCAAATTTTACATCCATCTAATGAAAATAAAATCTGTCAGGATTCTACTAGAAACTTCAGAAGGTAAAAGAAAAACATAATTGAAAAAAAAAAATGGAGTTTACATATTCCAAAGTGAAAAAAAAGTAATTCATCATCTTTCTTCAAAATAAAACCAGAAGTATATATTACCTTATGCGAAACACCAGCTAGCTGGTAATATTTCTTGGCAACCTCAAGAGATTTGGCATCTCTTTCACAAGCAACTAAACAACCAGATTCTGGTAGGACTAAGGCTATGGCCAAAGATGAATATCCCTGGGGAAAAAGTAAGGATAGGATGCTTCATTCATACATACAAAGAAGCTCTACCTGAAATATTGCCATGGGTAGAGCAGAAAAAACTACAGCAAGATAACATGCTCATCAAGTGAATAGCAGTGTCCTTGAAAAAAGGGTCATCAACTTAAAATTCATAATTAAACCATTTAAAAAAAAGGTCTTAAAATTTCTCGAAGAACCAGTTCTAAACGATGTATAGCATGAGATAAAAATAGGGGAATGTGAACTGTTTAATCTTAAGAAAGCCAGCATAAACTGGGGGTGGATGAAGGACATACAGTATAAACGCCGACTTCAATGCAACGTTCTGCTCCAAGAATTTGCACAAGCATTGCAAGCAGTTGTGCCTGATCTGGAGACACCTATTAAAAAGACATCGCATCATCAAAATTTACCACATGGTAGGGAAGTAATGTTCCTTTGGGAGATTTAAAATACAAAGGTGATGGACAGAAAGATTATGCGTGTACTTTCTAATCAACTCAGTTCCTTTGTATTCGCTGTAAAATTTCACAATCACATGCTTGACACTAAAAAGACATTACTTCACTAATAGTAGTATAAAGTCCATAGAAATTAAAGAAGGCATATGCCTATACACCGCAGTTCCATGCCCAGTTACTGAAAACTACCACTTATAGCTTGATTTAAGTAGTGATATATTTATAATTATAACTGTCATATAATCGTCTGATTGAAGAGATCAAAACATTGATTACTGAAAAAATGTTGTGGATTAAGTGCAGCGGTTCAAGTTCAATCCTCCTATATAACTGAAAGATAAGCAGCTAGTGACATTTCAACTAGTTAACAGAAACTATAATGTATAGATATAGACCCAAAAGAGAACTATACTGTTCCACTCCGGTGGCCTGAATCAATATTAAACTGAGCTACTGAAGCACAAAGGAACAAGAAAGCTTGTTTGAATAGTGGTAATATTTTAAGCTTGTAAGCTGAATTGCTCCTTGATATTCATGAACCATAACGTGCAAAGTTGATCAGGGGAAGACTAAATTGACGAGGTGTACCTGCATCTGGCTCCCACGCATAGAGGCTGTCTCCTCACGCAGTTGTCTCAAAATCTGAAATGCCACCAATTATAACATCACCAAGGATTGATAAAGTGAAATTCCAATATGAAAGCTTTTTTTTTTTTTTTTTTGGGGGGGGGGGGGGATGGTTTCCGTGAAGTGAATTGGATAGTTCGCCACCTCTGGTTCTCGAACGCTCTTCAGGACATAGTCATAAAGGCGGGGACTGAGACTGACGACCTGCTTATTGCCGTATTTTTCATCATGAGCAATAACGAAGTCACTGGTCGAGCAGGTCCTAACAAACTGTCTCTTCCACTTGTGCCCCCACTTTTCTAAGGAGACGTGCGATGCCGTATTAGCACTAGACAAAGTTGCCGATAAGGAACGAAATCTCGGGAGTAATCTTGCAGGCCTCAGAAAACAAGTTTTATGTCCATGGGCCGACAATGATCCGTGATAAAGCGCCATGATATTGCTTTACTACGAATGAAAAGGGATCTCCTTTCTCTCATGGTTTTCCAATTCCATTTTTCTTTGAAGCAATTCCACAAGCAGTTGGCGGACAGTAACAGTTTGCCGTTACCGTTCTGACGGAACTGGGTCACCAACAAACAGAAAGAGATCCTCCATGCCACGCGCTACGATACTCGAATTGCTGTACCTTTGCCGCCCCTATGTAGAAATTTGTCAGCGGAAATGGCCAGGCGGTCATAAAAGTATAAGAGCCGAATAGAGAATGCAGCGAAAATTGAAGATGACCCAACCCCTCAATATAACCAACAACAAACATAAAGATGTGTTACTTCGAGTCTTCACAAAAAATTTTTTGGGCCAAACTTCAAATGAATCTTATCATTTATGGCAGAATGATAAATAAAAACTTTATAAAAATATTAATATTAAATTAAAATTTTTTAACATTAACGTTTCTAAATTTTAATACCCTTTTTACTATATTTTAATATTAAAATTTTTAAATTAATATTAATATTTTTATAAGATCTTTACATGTCATTCTCCCTTCTATAATTTTACTATATTTTAATATTAAAATTTTTAAATTAACATTAATATTTTTATAAGGTCTTGACTTGTCATTCTCCCTTCTATAATTAGCTTTGTGACAGTAAGGTGTTAGCCTTGCACAAAATTCATGAAAATAAAGATAAAGGTTCATTTTGTTTTTAAAGTATTATAATAAGAGACCTAAAATTCTTATCTTAATAATATTGCCCTTTAATGCAGCAATTTTTTCCTGGGGGTTAACTTGCATAACATTAATTGTTATTTGACTAATTTTTAGCCAACATCCCAGGTGCATCTGATTCTATTCCTTCTCTCTTTCTTCCATCCTCCTCTCTCCTTTTCATATAAGCAGCAAGCCTCCTTCCATTTGTTCCCAACTCCTTCCATCCCCCTTCCTTTAAACCAAACTTCCTCTTTTATTTGCATCATCTACTTTTACATAAGGCCAAATTCATGAATCCATTACATTTATATACACTAGAACAACAATTAAAAACCATAAATCCAAAAATTTCAACCAAGATATAATTAATCTAAGGGATTCTGTAACCTAAAAAAAAAAGATTGAAAAACCAACAATGAACATCTCAAAGCAAAGCCACAAGAAATCGGAAACTCACACCCCATTACCGTTTCAAAGCAGGAAAACAACCCTTTTTTTTAAAAAAAAATTTCCAATAGCCACCATTAATGGAAGCATAAGATGTTTTGAAACTTAATGATTCTTGCTAGTTCAAGGCTGAAATCTTGAAGGAAGCCCTAGGTTCATCAAAATCAACAATTTTTGGAAGCAAACCCGGAAGATGTTGTGGATTTATTTCATAGGGCAAAGACATAAAACTTTTCCATGACATGATGGAGGTGCAGAGTCACTGATGTTGTGCTTGCTCTTAGTTTGAAGATTTTTTGATGCAATGCTTCATCGGAGTCAAATCTTTATGAAACTTCTTATGGGAATTGATTTAATTTGCATTCTTGGCTTACCAACAAGAAGGAGCGCTCAAATACGGATGTTGGACTTGTCAATAACTTAACCGAAAAAGGTGTTCCCTTGTGCACTAGCACTAGTGCTTCAATGCAAGAACTCATGCATCTCAAATTTTGTGATGCAGGTACATCATATTGACCATATCAGCATTTATCAAGCCAAGTAATTGCCACGTGCTTCAAGAAGTTGATCCCCCTAACATTGATTAACAGAGTTTGTGAAAATTTAATATCAATGATAAAATTGCTTCATTTTAATTACTTGAAGTGCAATATCTCTATAATAAGGACTTTAAACTGCTAGATGCTCTTATCCAGACATTTCAAAAGCAAAAATAAACGTTTATTTTAAAAATAATAGCTTTATAAATGATTGATGTGATCATGGGAAGGAGAAATCCTATACGGACAAAGAAAATCTCTTTTTGTTCAACACATAGTTTATAATTCATGAATAATAGATTCTCTCCTTTTGTTTAGAAAATGTAAAAAAATTTCAATCAAACCTCACTTTCAATAAAATAATTAATGCAATTAACATGATCTTTTCATATTCATCTATATTTAATAGAACGTTTTACTTTAAAATACTCATCTAGTTTAATTTATAGGGCAAAAAGAAAAGATTAATTTTGATCATATTTATAAGTCATTTTATTATTTTTTTATGTTCATCTCTACCATTCTGTCCTTATTAGATGTTAGAAAAAATTATTAAAAATAGTTTTTTCTTTATTAGGGGATAGAGGCAGAAATTTATTAAATTTTAAGATATAATTAATAAAATTTTATATTTTTCTTAGTTTTAGTGAAATACATTAGAAGTGGTTTATGAATAAAACCAGAGGGGAGTAAATATAAAATGATTTACTTATTATGGTCACTTTAAAAAAATACATTAATTATACCTTAAAATACTAAAAATACCACATGTCTTTTAACATTTAATCTCTTAAAAAATGTCTTCATGGAGAGTAATACTCATTTGTCTCAAATTATAAGATATTTTTAGACAAAATCTCACGTACCAATAAAGCTTATTAAATACACTTTACAATCTTATTTTTTCAAGACAAGAATATAAACTTTTAAAAATATCTTTCATTTAATACTCTATTGATAAAAAAATATTGAAGAGATAGATCATATATGGGAAGGGTCATAATGAAAAAGCTTTATTAATGAAACCTTATTTTTAGCAAAGTGTCTTATATTTTGAAACGCTCAATCTTCTTTCAAAGTATCTTATAATTTGAGACAGAAGGAGTATTTCATAAATTTTATATAATATAATATCAATAATGATTTATGTTTTTTTATGCAAAAGAATATAATAATTTACATTACATACAAGTCATAAATAATATTATTTACCTCATATTAGATATAACCATTGTTTAGTTGTATGTTCTCTAATAGAGAATAACTTAGTTTGAAAAAATAATTAATTCAAGCTAAGCTAATGCATGGCATGCATATCCTTACATATTATTATTTCTCTAAGATTTATTAGCTTCAAAGAAGGATGCAAGGGAGCCCTATTTGTATTCATTTCTATTCAAAATGGATTTTATGGACCGGGGGTTAAAGTAATTAGCGCAACTATTAAATTCGGAAATGATATTTAATTTTGGATTCCATCTTCACCAAAATTTGGACCATTTTTCAGTCTAATGACCTGTCGGATTTTTAATTTTTAGGCTGGAGAGTGGCATAATTCATTGTAAATAAGAACACATAATCTTTGATGCTTATACTTTTATCGAGTTTTGTTTTTAATCACTGTAATATTTTTCAGTATTTTTACTTCCTATAAATACTAAAATTATTAAAAAATAAAAATTATAAGGGCTTAAAAAATAAAGGTTACCCAATATTTTTTAAAATTATAAAGACTAAAAACATTGAAAAAGCTACAAGAGTTAAAAACAAAAGTCGATTAAATTATAATGATCAAATATTATGTTTTTATAATATATAACCCACCATTTGTAACGTGAGACTAGAATAGTAAGATAGCTTCCTTGAATGTTGTTGGAAACTTGGAATTACAGCTGAATGAATATTATGAAAATATTTGATGACTGTGATTTATCGGTATATTTAGAAATGTATTAGAATATAGTTGATAAAATATTTCTTCACCTAGGACTAAGAAACATTGACACTCCAATTATTAACGGATGCTCCCTCCCATCTTATATATTTTCTCCGTTAAAAAAAATATAAGGTATTTTTTGAGGAGTTTGATGTTAATAAATATAAGACATTTTTAGTTTTTCGACGTGTAATTATTATCTTGTTTTTTAAAAAATACCCCTATTGATAATAATTTTATGTTTGTTGTAGGATATTTAACAGGAGTAAATATGAAACTATAGAATTAGTTTAAAAGTAGGTAACTACTTTATTGAAGGTGAGATTTAATTAAAAATGCCTTACATTTTTAAATGAAATGAATATAAATTACTTCCTTTAAAAAATTAATATTTTTTAATAAATAACTTTGTATGAAATGATGGATTGTTAATTTTTTTTTTTATTTTACTTCTTCAAAGTATTCTAATAAAGTAAGATGTTACATATGAAAAAGAAAAGATAAAAATGTTGTTTTAATAAGGGTAAATTAGAGATTTTTTTTTTTTTAGGCAACATTAATGGTTTAACTATTTTTCATTGATTTTGATTATGTAATTAAAAATAACTTATATATACCAAATGAATGTAACACACATAATAGCAATATGGGCCCTTAAGCATAATTAGGGTTTGATTCTCGAAAATGTGTGTGAAAATACATTATTTGAGATAGAACAATCCTTTAAATGACGTTTAAATTTCTCTGAGGATTGGCCTTACGACTGCTAGCGGTGAGAATACTTTAAACAATTAAAAAAACTTATATATAAGACTTGAGGTAGTAAATATTAACTCACCAATTGTTAAAAACTTAGTGCATGTTTAGTACATGAACAGATATTTTTTAAGAAGAAAAAATACATTTAATTATCCATTAAAAAAATGAGATAGATACATTTATTATTATTTTTTAAATATTTTTTTCATTTACCAAACATTGGATTATGATACAATGAATTCTTAAAATATGCAAAGCCAATAGAATGTCATAGATTGGTCTTTTCAAGCCTTGAGTAAATTATGCTTGCCCAAAAATGAAAAAAAGCCTTAAGTAAATTAATTAAAGATTAATCTTTACTTTTTGTTCAATAGGCCAATATGAGTTGTATAGATAGTGAAAATACTTATTACCCAATATAAAAAAAAAAAAACCTTATTACCTCTCCTATAAGCATGGATAATTTTGAGACAGGCTATCCAAAGCCCCCCGCTTGATGGATCTCTCTCTCTCTCTCTCTCTCTCTCTCTCTTCCAAAGAGATCTCTTTAAATGGCGTTATGCTTAGTATAAAACTAGATGTGCCGATCTTTTTCATCACTTTTCTTTACAAATCAAAAAGATAGTATATGTTTGACAGTGCGATACGATCAAGGCATATACATAGGCGTTGGTATTAGGGATTTGGAATGCAGGTGTATTTTAGATATAGTAGACGGAGCTCTTAGACGGTGTCACGCTATAGTTCATCTTAACGAAATTTATCGAATAAGAAGTGAAATTATAATTTTTATGCTTAAATTATATGATTGAGGGTCATATTTAATTAATTATCCTAGTGAAGATTACAAAGACAGATAGCTAACCAGTGAATTTTAATTGGATTTTCGTGGTATGCGTTCTATCTATTCTTAGGGAAAATTTCGGTCAGGGATCATTGACTTGAGATATTAAATAAGAGAGTCCAAATTTTTTGAAATTTCAATACAAGGATCGGATATTAAAGTGAAATTAAATTTATGGTGAAAATGATAAAATTACTTTTATTTAAATGAATAACATATGGTAAATAAGATAACTTGTTCATTCTCATATTGTATGTTATTCATTTACTTACGAAATATTGTTAATTATCCAGCGTCACTTGTTTATAGTTATAGTTTTACTTAATTTCATTCTAAATGATGGTTTCATGATAAAACAAATTGTTTGTTCATGTATTATATGTTATTTATTTATTTACAGAATATTATTCATTTTTTTACTTCACTTGTTTATGGCTTTTGAAACAAAATCAAGTGAAAGTAGGAATATAAATAAGTGAAGTAGAGAAATGAACAATATTCCACAAGTAAATGAATAACATATAATATGGGAACGAATAAATCATCTTATCTATAGTATATTATTCATTTAAATGAGGGTAATTTTGTTATTTCTGTCATAAGTTTAATTTCACTTTAGTACCCAATCCCTGCAGTGAAATTTTAGAAATTATGAGGTTGTTTTCTCCATTATATTCGATTAAGGGTCGATTACTGAAATATTTCCCTATTCTTATCCTATATGTTATTGGTTCTTGCTTAAAACACGAAATTATTTAAAGTTTGTCCACTTTCTCTGTAATTTTAGCTCCTTCTTTTTTCCCCAGAATCATGTTGTGCTTTTTATTTTTATTTTTTATGGCCCAACGATTGCATGTTTTTATGAATTCTCTGGTTTCCATAGGAAACATAAAAAAAAAAAAATCTAATCACGTGTTATTGATAATGTGTAGCTGTGAATTTATATACCCATCGTATTAGATTGTTTTTCAAGGGAAATATTGATGTTACTTTAAAAAATAGTACACTATATCAAGTTTAAGAATAATACGAGTATACTTCCTCCAAAAAATTAATAATACGAGTATAGATATCATAAAATTTTAAATTTTTTTAACAAAAGAACTAAATTATACAAAGAAAACCTATATCAAATTATGGATAGGACTATTTGTTTCAAATACAAAGAAAACGTGGAATTTTTTTTTTGAAAAAAAAAAAGCGTGAAGTGAGCTAGTGATTAGCCATATTTACCATAAAAATCATAGATGTTATTTCCTCTTTTGTGGGAAGAGATCATGTGGACTTTCTGTACGCATCACAATTATCAATCATAAGCACAGTGTAGTAGCACTCGTTATCCGACCTACATGCATCCTCCACCATAGGAATGAAAATTTAAATTATTCTTCAGAAAATAGAGAATCCATGCGTGAGAGAGAGAGAGAGGAGGAGAAATAAGCAGCCTCCGTGACTCTGTCTCTGTCCTCTCTCTATGAATTTTGTTTTCAAATTTTTGTATTTGCTTTGTATTTAGAGATTAGAGTGATAACGAAGGAAGGGAGCTATGAAACACACAAGGCGTTTGTGGCTGAGAGGCCCCTCACTTCCCAGATGAGGATTTTGGCTCAGACAAATTCCCACCTCCAAATGCTCATCCACTTCACATGGTAATTCGCTCTCTTTTTTCTATTCCCATTATTTGAACTGTGAGCCCCACTTCATCTTGTTTCTATCCTACTCGTATATATAAACTCTTGCTATTTTTACTTCGTTTCTGTTTCTATTCCTCAGCTGGAGGGCTTCTCTCCATTGCTTCCTCTTGCATGCACACCCTGTAGATCAGTTTTGTGGCTTAAGGTCTGCTATGTTTTTTTCTTGTTCGTTCCGTACTTTCATACTTAATCTTCCTTTCTTCATGCGGCTTTTGTGGTTACGCTGTGGCTTGATTTTATCTTCATGTTAGAGATGAAGAATATTGAAGGGTAGTGTTTGTGTTGTGTCTATGGATGGTTTTCAATCTCATTTTGTATCTGTTGGGTTAACTTTGAGCATGGAGAGCATGTTTCTTCTATTCTTATCTCTGTGTGTGTGTGTGTGTGTGTGTGTTTTCTCAATATATTTGTCGAGAAAAATTGAGGAAATCTTGATACTGAGACCTGCTAATGGGAATAATACCGTTTTGAAGTCGCAGAGCAGAAGTGGATGCTTTGTGACCAGAAGCTACTTTACCTTCTATTCTGCTGCTGCTGCTATCATTTGCTTTTAATTTTTGCTTGAAACTTGACACTGTTTCATCCGAAGTGTTTGTTTAGTTTGAGTAGGGCTCTGGAAAATTTTCTGAAACACTAAATTTACTTAGTATTTTTTTTCTATCCTTTATTACATGGTTGGTTCCTGGCATATCTGCACTTCCTATAGCTGAGGATTTGTGATGATAAAAACTGATAGCTGAAAATTCATGCTCTGTCTATACGTTAATAACCTGTAGGATTCCTGAGGGACAGAATTAACAGCCAGTTCTAAAAATGGAGATAACTAATGTTAGTGAGTATGAGGCAATTGCAAAGCAGAAATTGCCAAAAATGGTGTTTGATTACTACGCATCTGGTGCTGAGGACCAGTGGACTCTGCAAGAGAACAGAAATGCCTTTTCCAGAATCCTGTGAGATTTTGCTCTTTATGTTCATAAACAGAGTATTCAGCCTCCACCCATATGGCTTCATTGTTGTCCTTTCAGATTTTGTATGCCTCTGTTTCTATTACGAACATACAAAATAATAATGTCCTGAAATTTGCTTCTGGGGGAAAAAAAAATACAGGTTTCGGCCACGTATTCTCATTGATGTGAGCAGGATAGACATGACCACCACTGTCTTAGGCTTCAAAATTTCCATGCCAATCATGATTGCTCCAACAGCCATGCAGAAAATGGCTCATCCTGAGGGTATCTTATTCACTGTCATTTACCTTCTTTTACTTTGTTGACATGATGTTATCAACATCTTTGTTTAGGGTTTAAATCTTTCATCTGATGTGTGATACTGTTATGATTCTCTTCTTAAACAGCTTGTCCTTTTCTGCATAGCCTGGAAGTCGAATATTCAAGGGAAATTGGGAAACAAAAAACATAAAAGTCAACCTGGGTTGCTTTGAAATTGCTTCTTAAACTCTGATAGTCACAACTTTTTTTTCCTTAGCTCTTTTATGTGACTGAATTTATTTCTTCCAATAAAGTTTTAAAAGGAGTCATATGTAAGAAGTAGTACAGAATAGATTCTTAACATAAAATTTTGATAAATGAATGAACATTGGAAACTTTATGACGGTACATTATGAAAGCTAAATCGTCTAGCCTTGTTTGATTGTATAGTTTGCAATGAAGCTCCTTTACCTGTTGACTTAATGTTGAACCTTAGTACTAAGATTCGCTGTTGGCTAACACTATTCATTTTCAGGAGAATATGCGACTGCAAGAGCTGCATCAGCTGCTGGAACGATCATGGTACTTCTCTTTTATATCCATGTTCCTTTTAATCACAGGCTCGGTAGTACTTATTTCTGTCGAATGATCCCCATAGAATCTTATTAAATAATAATTATATATGTTCAAAGCAGTTTACAAGCATTGTATAAAAGCAATGGCCTTCTTTTTCAAAGAGACAGAAAATGTTACTCTCATACTGTTGAATCTCATTCTTGATCACCCATGTTCAACATTAGGCCGTATATGACGCTGCTAGGTTGTACGTGTTCTATTTAAGGTTATGTGTTGGTTATTTCTTTCTTTCAGACTTTGTCCTCATGGGCTACTTCAAGTGTTGAAGAGGTGGCCTCAACAGGACCTGGAATCCGCTTTTTCCAGCTATATGTAAGCTTAAAATGCTTTCTGTTCAGCTCCTTTTAATGGTCATTCATGGATTCCCCTTGTTTTTCACTGTATGTTTACCTTTTATCATGTTTTTTTTTTAGGTGTACAAGGACAGGAATGTTGTTGCTCAGCTAGTGAGGAGAGCTGAAAGGGCTGGCTTCAAAGCTATTGCTCTCACTGTTGACACCCCAAGGCTTGGTCGCAGAGAAGCTGACATCAAGAACAGGTGCAACTCTTCAACCTTAGATTGTTTCTTAAGAGAGTTTCAGGTTTGCAAGTTCAACATGTTGAAGCTGAAAATACCCATAAACAATATCTTTCAGATTCACCTTGCCACCATTCTTGACGTTGAAGAACTTCGAAGGTTTGGATCTTGGAAAGATGGACATGGTGAGGAGCACATAGTTAGACCAAATGATTTCACTGGGTTGATGTTCTCAATGTGTTTTCTTAACTTTCACTGGTTCCTCTGCAGGCTGAGGACTCTGGACTTGCTAGCTATGTTGCTGGCCAAATTGATCGTACTCTCAGCTGGAAGGTATGTGAAGAATCAGATCACACTTCTTTTTCACTAGCTCTCCATTTTGCCTGCACTAGTTCAACATGATTAGTCAGATCAGGTAAGATCAATAATGTGCATTCACCATCTAAATAATCATGGTGAATTGCGCAGGATGTGAAGTGGCTTCAAACAATCACTCAACTTCCAATTCTGGTGAAGGGTGTTCTGACTGCCGAGGACAGTAAGGAAACCAGAAACTGCTTTGAGTCTAGCTTTCTCTAGTTTTTTTTTTTTTTTTGTAATGAAGATCTGATGAATTTATACTCGTTAATTATGCAGCAAGGCTCGCAATTCAGGCAGGAGCAGCCGGAATTATTGTGTCTAATCATGGTGCTCGACAGCTCGATTATGTGCCTGCCACTATAATGGCGTTAGAAGAGGTATATAACTTGAAGATAAATTATTGTCTAGTTTTAGCTTGAAGCTCAAGCAAACACATTTTGAAGTGTCTTTTTCTGTGTGTAAAAAATTAGGTTGTCAAAGCTGCTCAAGGCCGTGTTCCTGTGTTCTTGGATGGTGGTGTTCGTCGTGGAACTGATGTCTTCAAGGCCCTTGCATTAGGAGCCTCCGGCATATTTGTGAGTACATCTTAGCCTCTTCATATGCATATTTCTTAAACTTTACTGAAGTTACACTCCTTCATTTTAAAAATTTATTAAATATTTCAGATCATGTCATTATCTCTAAGTGAAAAATACATGAAGCAGTCTCATACCAACTCAGATAGACAGAGATACAGTCATATAGAACAGATTGTGTCATTCACATGTAAAACAGTGACTTCTGTATAATTCATTCACATGCATTTGTGAGTTTGGTTAACAAAACTATGGGGGATTTGTGGATCAGATTGGACGTCCAGTGGTGTTCTCACTGGCAGCAGAGGGAGAGGCTGGCGTTAGGAAAGTGCTGCAGATGCTACGTGACGAGTTTGAGCTAACCATGGCCTTGAGTGGATGCCGCTCCCTCAAGGAAATCACTCGCAACCACATCGTCAGTGAGTGGGACCACCCTCGTCCTCATCATCCTCCTGCTCTCCCCAGATTATGAGCAGCTTCAAGACGATGATGATGGAGAAGCACTCGTGTCTCACCTGATCTCTACAACCTCTTATTTCCTTCCGATTTTCCTCCTCTTGCTTTTTTTTTTCCAGGGAGAAAACTGCTTTTATTATCAAGGATCTTAAAGAGTGCTATATATTTTGAACGCTACATGTTTAATTTACTGTGAAGATTATGATGATGATACTTCTTATCATCTAATGGCTACTGTGTTGCTGCTGCAGCTACTTTCACTGTATATTCTTTTCATAAAGTACCTAGGTAGCAGCAAGTGGCTACTGTTGAACCATGATGATATTGTCCTTCATAAGTCTTAAGGTTTTGCTTGTAGGAGTTACAAGATCATATGATATGACCAGCCTGAATAATCCAACCCAATTAAGCAACTGCTTCATCTTTCCAATTAACCGCCTATTCTCATTCCAGTAATTCACAGTTGGGTTTCTGATAGATTGAAAGGCAATGACATTACCTTTTCTTATGTCTAAAATGATTATGGTTAAAGTCCAAATCTCCTGACAAATTTTTTTCAGGATTTTAAGAAGGGTGTACGTTATGGTTGACGTATATATCTTCACAGAAATTAGAATTAGAATATACATATGGATCTTTTTGATGCTATTCTTGACTGTAGCTCGACCTCATCAGTTTGCAATATATTAAATAATATTTTTCATATATATATATATATATATTTCTACTTAAATGCATAATTTCTAAAAGGGGTAAATTGATGAAAAATATTACTTAAGAATTTCTTTTATTTTAAAAACTAAAAAGGACGAAATGTATTGCATAGAGCTTTACCAATCATGACTCTTATATGGATTTGGATCTCTCCATACTCTCTTTCAATGTATTTCTCTGTACTCAATTTCATTCATTCATTTAATTATTGTTTTAATTTAATAGCGTGAGATAGTTAATTATGGCATTAAAATAAATAAAATATTTATTTAATAGTTATCATTAATAAGTATTGTGATCTTATTTTCAGAAGCACTTAAATGATAACAACGAATAATCTATTTATTTTAATATTATAGCTAGTAATTTTACACCATTAAACCAAAATAATAATTAAATGAGTGGCTGATATTATGTTTTGAGAGAGAATATGGAGAAAATCTAAATTTGTCTTTGTTGTAGTTGTTAGAATTCTTGTATCACACACAAGGGCACATACCACAATTTCTTAAAATCTTTCTCTAATTTCCCAAAATTCGTTAAAGTAAAAGAATGTGCTTTGATGATTTTCCTTTCGTCAAAATATGGGATTGGAATATGCTAATATTTACTTTAAATAAAATACACAAACAAAGAGGGTGTACGAGAAAATAATAATTAAAATTAGATTGAAATTTGAAACAATGGACCCAAGTTATTGAATAACTAATCAAATAAAATATTTAATAACCTCTCAAAGAAAGAGATTTTAAGATAAAATTCGGACCAAAGATTTAACCAGAGCTCATGCCAAAAAAAAAAAAAATAAAAAAATTAACATCAATGTTTGTTTTTATTAAAATATTTATATTTTTCAAACAAAAAAAAAGAAAATAAATTTTTAAAATTGGGATAATTTTTTTTATCATGTGAATACTTTAACGATAAACAATTTATAATTTATATATATTTTTATAAACAGCCACTAAGTTTAAAAACATGTTTTAGCTTGCTGCTCAATTCATTTAAACTTTCAACAAACAAAGTAAAAAGATTTGTGCCGATTTGGAAGTTAGAACCCTAACTCCTCCATCTTCTTTCCGCCCCAAACTTTGGCGCGACGGAAAGAGAAACAGGGAGACCAGTCTGAGTTGCCAGACGCTGAGCCGCCAGCTCTGCATTCAAGAGCGAGGGTTTTGGACAGCGAAGAGTTGCGTCACCGTCTCCATCAATGGCGAAGAGGAAGGAGAGACAGGTGAACCCGGAACCCTTTGATCCTGACGGTAATGAGTCCATCCAGTCCAAGTCTCGCTCCAAAGCTGCCAAACATCACCAAAAGGGAGAGAAGCTTATCTCTTCCCGTATTAGTTCTAAAATTATGAAGGAGGCTATGCTTCAGCAGAAGGAGATTCAGGAGGAAGCTGAAGCTTTCCAAGGGAACGCCAACAGCGCCTTCTTTCAAGTTGAGGAGCCGCCCAATGTTGAGGATGATGATGATGATGATATTGATGAATTTGCTGGGTTCTCCGAGACCCAGAGTCAATTTGGTGGATATGATGTGAGTGAATTGTAACTTAACGCTTTCGCTTTTCTGTATGCCTTATCTTTAGAGTGCTAATTGGGTGTTGCTTTTCTGTTCGGTTGAAATGAAGATGGCAGTTAAATTTTTAAAATCGGAGCTGAGAGAATTTATTTCATATGCAGCTCCCTTCACCTTACATGTTGTTTTCGTTTAGTGAAAAAAGGTTACTTCTTTGTTTTAAATTTAGAAGTCAGAACATATGCAGAATGTCTCTTCATCTATACAAATTTTACTTTTGTAACAAAATAAAGTCGGCTACATGATTGTAGGAGGCATTGTGCTCTATTATTATCCAAGCTTTTAGAAATATTATTAACTAAGTCATTTAGTAATTCCATTAGTTTTTTCTTTGGTATTTCTCTACCTTTCTTTACTGGTTTTAAGATTGTGCGTTCTATTTTCTCCCTCAGCCTTCTTTGTACATGTTCAAATAATCTCAAACAATTTTTTATCATTTTTTCCCTAATGAGGGCCACACCCACTTGTTTTTGTATATGTCATTTCAAATTTTATCTTTTCATGTATCCACATGCTCCATGTCAACATTCTTTTTATCTTTGCTACTTTAACTTTATACTCCCGTAGTCTCTTTAAAGCCTAACATTTATTATCATATAATGTGGTTAATCTTATATTAGTTCAATAGAAGTTTCCTTTAAGTTTATCAAGTATCTTTCGATCACTCATTTAGCCTTTATCCAATCAAGCTATCTAACTTGTATTCTATGTACAACATCCTTTCAATTTTTCTATTATGTTGAATAATAACTCATAAGTATCTAAACTTATTCACTTGAGGCATTCTTTGATCCGGAAAAATTTAGATATTTGGGCGTTATTATTCAACATGATTGAAAAATTGATGGGGATGTTTCATATAAGATACAAGTTGAGTGGCTTAATTGAAGAAATGTTAAAAGTTATTTGTGATTGAAAGTTACCTAATAAACTTAAAGGAAAGTTTTATCAAACTGCTATAAAACCAGCTGTGTAACAAAGTGAAGATGGTTCTCAAATTCCTTTGGAATTAAGTTGTGTCTGAGTTTGAAGTGTGCACTTCAAAACTCTTCTCTGAATCCTGTTTTTGAGGTTTCTTTCAAGTTCTCTGTAATCCTTTAGTAAGTCCGTTTTGTAGCATAGTCAAACTTGACTCACTTTGGTTCACATAATAAATTCAGGAAGAGATTAATGAGGAGGACGAGAGAGTAATGGAGGCATTCTTATTGAAAGACCAGGGTAGGCAGCGAACACTTGCTGATCTCATTGTTGAAAGAATAAAGGAAAAGGACGCAGCTGTTGCTTCTGGTAAATATCATACTAGGTTATTGATCAATTTGTGTTTTGATTTTAGTTTTTTCAGAATAACTGAGCCATCTCTTCAAAAGACTCAGCAGTTTAATTTATTATCTTGCTTTGCATGCAGAAGTGCGACCGGTGCCAAAGTTGGATAAGTCCATACTAGACATATACAAGGGGTATTTTCAATGTCCCATTCAGAAAGATTTAATTATTTTGTAGATTAGATGAGTAAATGCTTTTCCTTTGAGTTTCCTTGTTATTTTGTTTTCTTATGATGAGTCATTGCTTTTGTAATTTCTTATACTCCAGGGTTGGGATACATCTTAGCAAATATACAGCAGGAAAAATACCCAAGCCCTTCAAACACATCCCTGCCATGAAGCATTGGGAGGAGATTTTATATGTAACTCAACCTGAGAATTGGTCACCAAATGCAATTTACCAAGCAACTAGAATATTTTCTTCTAATTTGGGTGTAAAAAAGGCAGAACGCTTCTACAAGCTTGTACTGCTTCCAAGAGTGAGAGAGGATATAAGAAAGAACAAGAGACTGCATTTTGCTTTATATCAATCGCTGAAAAAGTCACTTTACAAACCTGCTGCATTCTTTAAGGGAATATTGTTTCCATTATGTGAGGTATGTAACAATTGTAAGTTGCTGGGCTATAACTCTTGTTAAATACATTATGAGGTATGTAACAATTGTGTTTTATTGTGGTGTTGTCACAGTTTCTCTATATTAATTGCTTCTTATTGTCTTATGATGTTATAGCCGTTTCCACAATCTTCAATACTGACTACATTGTTACTAAATGGATGTAAATCTTTGTCAATTAGTGTTTAAATTGTATGCTTGTCACTGTTACAGTTCTCACTTTCTATGTCCATTTTCCTGTGGATTCTGAAAATATTCTTAACGTACAGTCACGTACATGCACCCTCAGAGAAGCAGTCGTTATTGGAAGCATTATACAAAAGGTTTCCATTCCTCCACTTCATTCAAGGTATATTTAGATGGTCATGCACTACTTTTAATTATAAAAATTGGCTGAAAAGCAAGGCAGACTTCACTAGAGCATGTAGCATAATAGTTGAGAGAGTTTTTGAAACTTAAAATTAGAGTTTATGTTATATATTGGTATTGAAATTTGAAGGGTAATGGTTGGTTGTCATTCTGCTTATTATTTGAGGTAGATAAGCTGTACAATTACGAACCACATTAATTTAAATTTTTTCAATGCATTTCCAGTGTGGCGCTGTTGAAACTTGCAGAGATGGAATATTGTGGAACAACAAGGTATTTAATAGCTTTACTATTTTGTTAACTGGTATGAAGTTCAATCGTTTTTGCAGAATTGATTAATTGGTCCTTGGGTGGTGATACTGGGAAAAAAAGGGTAAACATAACTTTTGATCCTTGTACTTTACTGGCGTCTTGCTTTTGGTCCCTATACTTTTTTTCGGTGTTTTTTTAAGTCCTTACATTTTTGTTTTTCATTGTTTTGGGTCCTTCCAAGATTCTTATACTTTGCTCATAAAGGAACTGAAAACAATTGAAAACAAAAGTGTAGGGACTTAAACCATTGAAAAAGAAAATATAAGGACCAAAAGCAAAACGTGAGTAAAGTACAGGGACTAAAAGTTATATTTACTAAAAAAAAAAATAAACAGGCATTATGTTGGCCTAGCAAGGAGATTGTGTTTTTGGTGAAAAGAAGAAGTTACAGAGTAGTTAACTAATGATGTTGTCTGAGATATTGTTGAAGTTTGTGAGTTACACGTTGTTGTATGTATGAATTGAATAGAGTCAATATTGGGCTAGAGATCTAAATTTGTGTGGTCAAGAAATGATGAGCACTGTGCGGTAAAAATAATTTTATGTCAAAGGGAGTTCAAATGCATTAGCCTGATATTCTATTCAGGATTCTTGTTGCTGATATTGGGCACTAATTATGAATTTTTATTATCTTAACTGAGTATATAGAATAAGAGGACAAAAATAAATGAGGATAAAGTGAAAATGCTTGCAGTTATCAAGTTTGGAATCAATATTATTTGTATTTTTGAAGTTGTATTGTTTCTATGAGCATCCATGTGTATAATTAGATTCATACTAAATGAGTTCATTTGTGGTCAGTCATTGTATGATGCATAAAAACTTGTTCATAATATTTCATTTTAAAATAATCGCAGCTATTTCATAAAGCTTCTCGTGGAGAAAAAATATGCTTTGCCATATCGCGTGGTCGATGCTGTTGTTTCTCATTTTACGAGATTTGTTGAGGAAACTAGGATAATGCCTGTTATATGGCACCAATCACTTCTTGCATTTGTGCAGAGGTGAGTGATTCCTAATTCGCATTTTTTTTTTAAATCTGTGTCCATCATTGAATGTTTAAGAAGTGTTGCTTAATATTAGGGGTGTGGGTTGGTGAGTTTAAAATATGCTCTTCTAATTTGAATATTCATTCAGGTACAAAAATGAACTTCGGAAGGAAGAGAAGGATAATTTAAGGGATCTACTTGATAAGCAAAAGCATAGATTAGTGAGAACACTCTCCGATATTGTTTCTTTCTATAATTCAAATTTATATATGTATTTATTCAATTCCTTTTACTGCAGGTTACCCCTGAAATTATCCGGGAGCTAAACCACAGCCGTAACAGAGGCGAGAAGGAGGATGATCTTATGTCAATATATATCCTTTCCTTAGTTTCTTTCCAACCACATAATTCACCTCCCCCCTCCCCACACTGATAAAAAAGAAACGAAGGGAAGTCCCTGCTACAATTAAAAGAAAATTTTGTCAGCTATGAAGCTGCATGTTGAGACTAGGATTATTTAAAGAAAATACAACCGGACCTTTCTTTTCAGTACAGAAGGAATGACTTGCTATTGGGTTGTCATACCCTGTTAATGGAGATCATAAAGAGCTATCGGCTGAGCAACCGAGAAGGATTTTATCCAATGTTCGGTTGTACGGATTGAAATAAAAGTAAGAGAAATAACGGAGACTGACCATTATTACCATCTGGTTGAATCAATTCATAAGGAATCGTGGATGTATATTGGGTAAATTTTTAAAGGATGTGATGCTTATTTTATTTTATATTCCTTTTCCTCCTTTTACACCAAGCAGATCTTTAGTCACTGCTGCTTTCCAGAGGATCTCATAAAATTTATCGTGTGTTGAATTAAATTTTGCATGAACTATTGTGTTTCCGTGACAACACAATACCATCTCCAATCTCTTTTATCAACAAACCTATTGAAGAAGATAGATTTGACATTCCAGAGGTGCCAATGGAAGAGGACTAATTTATATCTGGGTATGATTCTTATACTGCCCTGTTTTAAATTTTATTTTTCCTGCATGTGCGGTTCATTGCTTGGTATGTTTGTGTTTCACATTCATTGTTCTCTTTAACGGAGTATTGGTGTGGGCATAATTGGTTTAGTCATTCATCGATCAATTTAGTATGGGTGATAAGAGTAATGGTCTTGGACCACTGAATTGTGTAACATAACCCTTAATGTAATGTAAGTAAGCCACTTGAAAGTTTATATTAGTTCAACTGATAAAGATGGAGTGGAATGTGCTCAGTAACTAGAGTTTAAAATTCTCATCGTGTAACAAAAAATTGAGAAGGAAGTTAGACATGTAAATGAAAATGAGTTATTAACTTTTATCTCACCGTTCTAAGGAAAAAATGGCTGAAAGCTGAGATACTGTCACTTGTAATTCTTTAATGTTGTAAGGGATTAGACAGTACAATCCGAATCTGGCAGCATATTTCTTTTGTTTTATCTGCCTCTTTTCTTGGATGATCTCTTTTTAAACCTTTGGGAGAGGTAATTGGAGCTATGCTTGTAATACAATGTTTAGTTTCGGGCTGGTACATGATGATCTATTTTTAATTTTCAGATTTGCAACAGGCATTGTACGGCTTTCTTGGAATCAAAGGCTAGGCTTCTGTTGCAGCCATTTTAATGGTTTTGCCCTATGAGGATTATCTTTGGAGATGGGCAGTCCATTGCAGTTTCGCTGAGGCAGTTAAATAGCAGTGCCTAGCAGTCTGAAATTTTGCTTTGTGGAATTGAAATTTTGCTCGAAAGTCTTCTGAGAAATGATGGGACACCATCTTTCTGATGTAATCATTTTTCTGTCGGTGGGTATTTGATTGACGCCTCCGAAGGCTATAGTTTTTGGAATAGAACTGCGTTGCTCTAGATCATTAGAAGCATAGCCAAGGCAAGACATTTAATTTAAGCATAAAGCGGATCGGTTATAAAAAATTATATCATCATGTTTTTTGAATTATTATAAAATTTTATTACATTCTGATCCATGTTTTTACAGCAAGGACAATCAATATTGGGAGATTAATAATGTTGAATTTTATTTCCTAAGAAGGGCGGGTTTACAAGATACAGGAAATTTTTTTTCTTAAAAAAAAAATAGGTTGTGCTGTTCATTGTTTGGATTGGAAGCAAAATCCATGGACTAGTGGTGAAAGCCGAGAAAATGAATTACTTATATGAATTGGAAGGCCAGGGAAACCTGAGATATTCTTTTAGGCCACTGGATTTCTCCTAGCATGCAAAGGATTTGAGCTTCTTCCGTGAGTCATTTAGTATATAGTTGGTTTTATGTCAGAAATACAATTGCTTGTTTTTATCAAAACTACTGTTTCGATGGTTTTAAACATGAAATCAAACTTTCTATTTATGGTGGGTCAGTTAATGCTATAGTGATGTGTTTGGATTAATGTTTGTAAAACTAAAGTTTCTATAAACTATTTGTAAATTGAAGTTTGGACAAATTAATCTTACTTTTGATCCAATCTAGGTTCGACTCTTGAACGTAGTTGAGTAAACAAAATCGAAGAGGAAATTATCCCAACCAATCCCCTCAAACTTGATTTGGATTAGCTCAACTCCAATCCAAACATGCCCTATGATAAGGTGAAGCAAAAAATAAATAAACTAAAAAGGTGATGGAAGAGAAGCTGACGGTAGGCACAGTGAAACTGATGGCGAATTTGAAACCTCAATTTTGTGATGGCATTTGTAAACAAAAAAACAAGACAAAGGAAACGATGTCTTAAAAAATTGTAATGGCTGAGGGGAACATGTACTTGGGATTTCTGACAATTATTCAATCACAGCCATCATGGAATGTGAATAATATAAAATAAATATAATAAAAATTGCGGCGGTCAAATCTTGAAGAGGTTAAATGTCTGTTGCATGCATGTCATTGATTTGCAGCTTTGGACACGTATCATCCTCTGTTCTTCACCAAGTGTTTCTATTCTCCCATCACGCACACATGCATAAACGCACTCATAAACATCTACCCGCGAATTTTGATTTTGTCATCATGACTTCCAGTCCAGAGAAGTTTTCATTGACTTTATCTTCTGCGGAGTTTGAAATTGAATATCAGACAAATTAATGTTTTAATGTATGTATACTTTGGCAGAAACAAGCACACACACTCAGAATCACAAAGTGTAGCCACATGGTTCAGCATGTGTCACCATAGTAATTTATATCCCCACTGAGCCGAAAAGCAAAGCTCAACAGAGAGTTATTAAACAATAATTTAAATGCGAGGATTTGCCGCAAGGTTTTTCAACCACTCATTAATTGATTGTATGGATTGCTTGTGCCACAATCATCGTTATGAGTCCAATAATTGTATCCGATGAATTAATAAAATAAAGCTCTTGCCATCGTTGGAACATTCTCGCCCTTCTGAAGTGAGTTTTATTCTTATGTAGGGCTAATAAGTAATACTCCTTCCATAGCACAATATAAGTCTTCAATTATACTCTTACTTTCTTGAGTAAGTAATAAGGGTGTTTTGAATAAGTTAAATGTTATATTTATTACACTTAAATACATGATTGGAAAGATATGAAAATTTTTAGAAGGAGTAAGTGTTAATTTGGTTCTGAAACATGTAAAATGGCCAAGATATGTATACCTTCTTCAAAAGTTGTCACGGTTTAATTTCATGTTATACAAGTCTGCAAATTTAATAATTATGAGTCGAGGGAAAGGGATTTAATACTTTAACACAAAGTCATATAGGTTTCAATCTTATAGTTAAAAAAAATCAATAGTGAAAGAATTACTTCATTTAGTCTTAACATAACAATGTTCAAATGTAGCATGATAATAATAAAAATTGTATTATATTACTACATATAAATAAAAATAAAAATAAAGTCTTCATATTCATCACCTGGCAATAAGTTACAGAAAGGGGCAAGGCTGCATTCAATAGCTAAGCTACTAGATTAAGGAAACTTGTCAGAGAGGACATCATGTGGTAGCTTATCTAGTGACTTCAGCAGTTACCTATGTATATATTCACGAGAACAGAACAAGTTTTGATCTATCCAATATGTTATAATAAAGCATTCGGGAATCTTCCATTCTATAATTTATAGAAAAATGGGCGTTTACAGATTATATTTATTTATAACTGAAAGTTTCACTAATTGAAAAAAAAAAAAGAAAAAGACGCAGCAGTTAGTGCTGCTGCATGCAGAAGGGATCATGAACAGAATATCTTTTTTTGTGCCCATTTTGTTTGCTATCTTTGAGGATAACTAATGATATATATTCGCAGGGAACCAATTAAAGAAGTAGAATGTGGGTTTGAGAAAGCAACTGCAACTTAGGCATTAAAACAGTTTTGGATAGATCATAATGCTTTAACAATTATAATCAAATCCTCAAGCTAAGCTTTAATGGCGGCTTTCTCTGTGATTCACTAACTGCCACAATCTTCTCTTACCTGATTGTGTGGTCTTCCTGCAGCCTCAATCTCTCGTTTATAGCTACTTTCTGCTTAGGGCCAAATGACAGTACAGAAATATAGTATTTTATGAAGTTCTAAGTAGTTGATTACTACGTAGGAATGTTGGGTTCTCTATGAGCCATAAGAAATTGGGATGCTACTTTTTGTTACGTTTAATATAATGCGTAGACCTAAATGAAATATATTAGGTAAGAGAAGACATCACCTTGCTCGTCATCCTCCAATTTCACAAAAATGAACAAAACTTTCCATTAGCTATATATATATATATATATATTGCTTTACACAATAATATAAAATGCTTTTGTTCCACTTCCATATTGCTGTTGCTTTATCCCAACAATTGTCGCCTACCAGAGCCTGACATTTATCTGAACTGATCAATTATCAGTGCTCAGTTCAAGAGATTGGAAACCCAGTAAGCAAAATAATAAATAAATAAACAAGCAAGATAAAGAGGTTTTAATTTGTATATTTTACTTTACATCGCTCACTAACTAATTGGGTTGCTTTTTCAGTTTTTCTGTTAATTGTCTGATTTTCCCAAACCCCTCCTTTGGATCCCGTGTTTCCTATGCAGGGAAAAAGTTTTCCCACCTTTCAATATACACTCCCTCCATTTAGCATTACAAGACACTTTTTATATAAAATATCTTGTTCGAAAATATAAGATAGTTTGAATTATTTAAAGTATAATTAATAAGATTTTCTTAAAAAATAAAATTAATAATATTTTTAAATTATGATACCCTATTAAATAAAGGTAAAAATTGAAAGAATATGTAACTACAAAGGGAAATAAACATTGAAAGAAGTGAAGAGGAAGTGGAAGAAAAAATAAATGGAGAAGCCAAATCTTAACATGTATGTGTAGAAGTTTAACAAAGTGATGATGTTATTTGATAAGAGTCTGAAACATATATGTATGTACGTGTCAAAATTAAAGTGGCTATATATATGTGTATGTTTGCGAACTTGAGATTGAGATGGACGAGAATGAGACAAATGATTGAAAGGTTCAAAAACATTGATATAGATATAAGATTCAATATGAATACTGACACCGACAACATGGTAAATTATATTGAAAGAAATATTAAAATAAGTATAGATATTAAACATGTGTCAAATATGAATAAGACTCGTATTTGAGGTGTCCACGATTTGTAACTTGACAAAGATATTTAGGCACAGACGGAGCAGGTACTAAATTTGATTTGCCTCTCTTAATTTTTGTAAAAATTGATTGAATATAAGCATATATCACATTTAATTTTGATATAAAAAAGTCTATATCGTCTAAAATTGTGAACTTATTTGTTTGTTAAATTGAATATACTAGATTCATAAATATAAAAATCCCATATATATTTCTTCTATTTTTATTCTATAAATACTTGGTAAAATATCTTTTAAGATTATTGTAATTAGCAAATTTTATTATTTCATGACTGAATCTTCAGAAAAATAAAAAAAAAATATTCATGTTGAATGATGGTTTTATTCAACAAGTTGAAGAGTCAAGTAGCAGTCAGAAAGTGGGTCTAATATTTTTTCCTTTTGAATTATTCTAATGTGCAAGTGGTGAGGCGAGAAAGGGTTAAGTGTTTGAGACGATTGTATATATTGGAAAGAGTCAGATTGATAATTCAACTCAATAGTCAATTTGAGAAAGTGATTTAGTTTGGAGTTTGTGTAGAAAAGGTGTATTTTGAGGCCTTGTGGGTCACACTCCATTGATTGTATTCTTCCAACTTGTGGCTCACAGACATCTTAAGAAAACATATCGTTAAATATGCCAATTAATATAAATTTTTCCGTATTAAAATATAGGTCTTTTAAAAGTTTTCGTACACATGTCAAAAAAATGTAATTAGCATATGGTAGAATTCTTCTGACACATTTTCAAATTTTCTCTTAATTCATTTTATAAATTATAATTGTTAAAATTAAACAAATGATTTCACCAAGAAAAAAAAAAGAAATAAAGGATACTTCAAATGGTGTATTGAAATTATAAATAGAGTATAATAGGATGATCATCAATAAATGGTGCATTAAACTTTCAATAGGACATGTAAACTACTAGAACAAAAATTTTCGTCTCAACCGGAGGGATTGGCTGCTCATAATAGGGATATATGAAATGAATGCCTGGTGTAAATGGGATCGATCCAATTCCCATTTGCATTTTTAGCTATTTGGTTCCTTCTTACATCTACATACTACATTCTTACGAATGCATGTTATAATAACCACACAATACATCATCTACATACATTCTTTCATTTAGAAATAAACTGATGATATAGAAAAGTGTAATCTTACAAATGTTGTGTCTGTCCACATACTTATATATCTATACATATATTCTATTTTGACTACAATATATAACATCTCTTAAAAATTCTGATTGGTCCAAAATGTAGAATATTGAGTAATTTTTATAATTATTTTTTAACCATACTCCTACTTCATTTTTTTAAAATAATCTATTAAAATTTTAATTGTTATTATCAAAGTACCTATAAGGAATTTAATAAGGTTATAATTGAAAAGATACAAATGTTTTTAAAAGATTAAAATTTCGCCTATTTTGTTTTTAACCGTAAAGTAGTCAATACTCTACATTGTGGCATACAGATGGAGTATATGCTTCCTTGACTACAAGTCACAAGCTCATAGCTAATGCTTTGACTACAAGTAATATTGATGATAATAAATTTGTACGTAAAATAAGGGAATGGTAATCAAAACCCAGTGCTCATATCCTTTCACCTTACTCCAGCTAGCACGGTCGGGGAAAAAAAATGAAAAGGATAGTAAATGAAAGCGTAGATGAATTACCAAGTTGGATCCTCGTTATATTACAAAATAATCGACGTTGTTCTCATAATTACCCTTTTGACTCTAGCTTCAAATTATTTGTTTTGTTGCATTCGTGTGACGTGTGGCATCATTCTTCATCGTTAATGGTCCATCGGTTCACCTAACTAAGAATATTGCGTGTGCCTGCGTACACACACACACAAACACTAGTTAATAAGGATCCCATTGATAATGATTGTGAGTTACTAATAGTGTTTAATTAATTAATGCCATGTGACTTTGGTAGTAATAATACTCATTGATTAATTAAATTGATCGCCGCACACTTGGTTGTACTTTTGTGAACAAATATACAACGTTAACACTATATATCTGTTTCCAACTCTTCCAAAGCTCTTCCCCACCTCATCAGAAGATCAAATCATCAGCTATATTAATCAAAATTTGAAACTTAGAAATATAGACAGAGTTGCAAGTAATGTAATGCTGTTCTGCGTAGAAGCCATAATTTCAATTAAATTTTCTTTTTTTGAAACATTCTTAGTCACCCATTCAGCCTTTCCCCCTAACTCTTCACTGTCCAATTGTTGCACAAAGTTCTATGATCTTATCCAACCAACTAGCATACATACATAAATACACAGTGTGTATATATACACACACACACGTATGCGTGTGTGTGTTCCGTTGACAACTGGTGTGGTTTTTGTTCATATATAGAAGGTGAATTGATGGTTATGAGTGTGCCATGGAAGAAAGATAAAAGTTTTTTTTATTATTAAGGTGGTGGATGAAGCCTCCATAGTGCCATTGAAGAGGGGAGAGGCAAGAGCTTTTGGTGAGTGCCACAGAATAGGGGTTGCATACTTAGCTTATCTCATAAAGGTTATGTGGTCTCGAGGACTGATTGGGAATTGTGTTGCATCTATGCGCTGATATTCACATAAAACCTTTTTTAATGCTGAGCTGGTCCATGAAGCAGCCATTGGAGAAGGAGAGCCAAGAGCTTTTGGTCATGAGTGTTGTGTCACACAATAAAAAATGAGTACATATATCTGATAGAAGTTAGCGATGTGGTCGTCTGGATCCTTTGGGAAATGTGTTGAATTGTTGTGTGCTAGCTAGCTGATACTGATATATATATATATATATATATGACCTTTTTAATATGCTGACGTGGTCGATCGACAAAGCTGCGATTGAAGGAGAGCCAGAAGCTTGTGGTGACTGTACCGTTACACAATAAAAGTGCGGCTCATAGCAAGACTATATGTGGTCTTCAGGACTCTTAGGAATTGTGTTGCAATTTTTTTCTATGGTTTATTCTTTATATTCAACGTGGAATAACGTGCCAGAGTGGGATGCTACCAAGGTGAAATTTGGAGCAAAATGGATTTCTCTGCATTCTATATATATGTATGTATGTATGTATCAAATAACATATGACTGCAACAAAATGGATCCTTCTATTTTTATTTAATGGTGTATCGGCAAGTCAAATGTAGGTCATTCATGCATATTATAGTTAAGATTGTTAATTACCATTTATCAAACTTTTTTCTGTATCCTAACAAGTTAGAGAAATTAAGAAATATTTTCACGAGTTCTTTTTTATCACGAGACAATCATTTTTGGGCGATGTTTGGCAACTATCCTTTTTTTTTTTCATCACGAAAGGCACTTTATTTTTTTTAACAATTTTTAAAAAAATTGTCATTGAATCCCAAAAAAATGAAGTAGCTTGTATAAAAAAAAAATTTAGGCAAATAAAACAATTTATAATATGTTCCTGAACTAGATAAATTCTTCTTCACACACCAAACACGCTTGAATTTTGCAAAATATGATGGTTTTGTTGACCAGAATCCGATTAAAATAAAGTATACTATGTAGTTTAATCTGAGGGGGAACTGTAAAATTGGAAGCCAAGTGTAATACAAGTCCAAGTTTACTGTCCAAATGAATATTTTAAAAAGACTATAAAACTCACCATATTTGAACTTTCTTGCACAGGTTAATTATTTAAATGCCTTATATTATTATATGCTGATGAAATGGTTGCTTGCCAAATTGGAATTGTAGTGTTTATGAGTTTTAGTCTTCTACGTTCATGTAAATATCTGCCTATATATTTATATACACGTAGTATTCGTAGTCACTCTTGGGAATTGGGATGCTTAAATGGTCATTTTAAAATCATGCAAACTACTACTAATTAAATCGTATTAGAATTCTCTTGATGTGAGTGTAATGGACACAGATGACTTTATCATGCACAATCTTTTGTCACCATTTTGTGCTAATGGAAATTATCTCTAGTCCAAATACAAGCTTCTGATGATACGTATACCACTTTTAGTTTATCCGCAAAATTCTCAAAGTGCATATAAGATTGATCTTGAAATAAAACCACCAAAACGAAGAAAAAACAAATTGATTAATTAATTAATCTATAATATATATATATATATATATATATGCACACTTTCACATGGACCAATTGGGTTTTGCCAAGTGATGAGCCAGAGCGTGACAGGTTCTTCTCTTTAGCTTTGTGTACTTCATTGTTATACCCCCCCCTTTCTATCTCTCTGCACAGGAAAAAGATTCTTCAGTTAACAAACAAGAACCAAGATGCTCCCATTTAGAAATTTAGAATTAGAATTATATATACTTCCATTCCTTGTGATCATTGGTTGCTATATTTGCTTCTGATTAAATTTTGTGATTTCCATTGAAAAGAGCTCTCAGCAAATAGCATCAAAAGGTAATCTTGTCTTCTACCACCTTAACAAACTTCTCTTAATTTGTCTCTAATGTATATGTAATTAATCATCAAACGCTAATTAATTCTGTTTCATGATGATAACTGTTTGATCTTGAAAGCATCAGAGAGTACTACTGCGACTCAAAGCTCAAATTGGCAAGATATGTTTCACAGTATAAAACAAAACAAAGCAAGGCCATGACTGAGCCTTCATTATGAATGAAGGAAACCCCATTGCAAGTTGCAAATTGAAGCTATATGAACAGAACTATACAAGACATGGTACGATATAAGCTCTAGCTATAACACACTTGTCCATATTCTATATATAGTGACTTGTACATTCCAAGTTGCTTATGGACAGTATGAAAGCTTCGACCTCAAATGGAAAATATTGCATCTGATAATGGACCCTCTAGGCATTTTGACATGGGCGGGTAAGAGCCTCTCCTCTTCAATAATTGAGCTTCAAGTCAAGACTCTTTCATCACATGTCAATGTTCTTGTGTGTATGCTTTAGCTGTGTCAACTATACATGTGTTCTCTTGCAGGCTACAAATATCAGGGTTTCCTTGTTCGTCAACACTTGCAAAGTTGACTTGGATTTGACAGTTTTTTCCATGTGAAAAAAATATCTTTACTTTTTAATTGGTTTTGGAGTCAGATATTGCTCTTCCCTCTCTTGCCAATACGTTGTGCTCGGATGGGATATTTTCATAAATTTTAACATGTGCCAAGCCAAACCTCCAAGTGCTTCAAAATTTAAACTGTTCAAAGACATTTCTAGTATAATCATGGCTTGTTTTGATTGCACAAGTGATGATTTAACATTTCAATTTATAAAAACCCCCTTAACTGTATTTTTGTGTCATTTAACTAATGTTCAATGAACAAACAGAAGCTATCAATTAAGTTATTAGAGTATATTGATAGATTCAGCATCCAATTCTTAGGCAAAAGAAGTTAAAAGTGAAAGGAGAACAAGTGATATTATTTCTAGTATTCACAACAGAAGATTTACAGAGATGAACATGGAAGGTAAGTAAACACACAGTATATCACATCCTATATACTGTAAACTTTTGTACTTCTTTTTTTCACAAGTGAAAGAATAAGCAGAAACCAGCTGAGCTTCATTGCTAACTACACCCAAAAGCTACGAGCTGGTTTCCCCAAAACCTCTCACTCCAAATCAAACACGAAAAAAAATTGAAGGAAAAAAAATAAGGTTCTGAAAACAGATCGAAGGAGATTCCGGGGACATATCTGCAAGCATCCCTCAGGAAAATCTCAATCTCTCGCACACTATTAAGGTAGATGATGTAGACGAAGAAGAAGAAGAAGTTGAAGAAGTCAACCTTCAAGCTTGCTTCTGCAAATCCTTCGAGTGTACGAAGGTTCCATGGAAGCCATAGGGAACCCTGCAAGGAAGCTTAATGGAAGCTTCTAGGTTCAAAGTCATGGCATTCACAATCTGCAACTCTGACTTCCATTCTTTCTCATCATGCACAAATGCTAAGATATATCCGTCGTCTTCTCTCTCTGAGTTAGGATCTCTTGGTAGAAACAGAGGCTCGCCACCGAACCTCTCATCGCCATAGATATACTTCTTCACCTCTCCTGTGGACAGGTCCACTTTCGCAAAGCCTGAAACTTTAGGCCATGGCTCTGCAAGAGCCAAATATGCGAACTGTGTCTTCCTTCCGAGCTTATTTCTGTTCACCATTCCAGCTTCGAGATTCATCTGTTCTGAAAGAATGGGTCGGCGAGTTGATTTGCCTGTTTTCAAATTCAGTCGGATTTCAGACAGAACGCTCTTCAGATTCTCCTCGCATTCATTGAAAATGGAGTCCGCCGGAGTCATGCAAGACCCGATCACGACAACCTCGTCGGTCTCTGGCTCCTCCCAGGCATTCCACAGATGGAAGCAGAAGCAATCAGGAGCTTCAATCCATTTGATCCCAGAAGAATCACTCGCATTCTTATCAAGAATCCCGAAGCGAGACATCTTGTTCCTGTCGTATATCACCGGAGAACCACCCCGTATCATCTCCGACAGCTTGAACACCACCTGCTGATCTGGCACCACCACGAAATTCTCCGTAATCGCAAAGTCATGCATCATAGTGGGCTCGGACACAGGAATCTCAACATCAGGTGACTTCTTGCCATCCGGGGAGAATCGGAAGTACTTCAAGTAAGGCTTCTGAATGACATCGTAGCTGAGTGCGTAGAGATCGCCGGAAACAGGGTCGACTTTCGGGTGAGCGATCATTGTGGATTTGAGTTGACCCGAGAAATCGTAACGACCAACCGTCTTGAGATCCCCACCGGGCGTGATCTTGACATGGTAAGGCAAATCGTCTTCGGACATGGCGAGAAGACGATTGTTGAAATACACTAAACCGGCGTTCGCCACCCCGATTCCGTTACTTCCGTCGACGAGTCCGAAGAGGCCGCGAGCGTAGAACAGTAAAAGGCGAGCGATTCCCGAATGGCCGTGAAGTTCACCGATGGCTTTAGGGAAAACAGGACGCCCCAGGGATTTTTCCTGGACGAAACGATTAGTTTCAGTGAACCGACAGGCATAGCTGACGGAGCCGTTTTCTTTGAATTGGACGGCGTGGACCATGCCGTCGCCATCGAACAAGTGGTGCCCCGCGACAGGCTCGTACAGGGGGTTCGCTCCGTTTCGGACGTACAAGCCCCGAATGCATTTGGGGATGTTCCCGGTTACGGGGAGGGAGTGCTGGACGGGGTGCTCCTGCACCGGAGCGAAGTTGCCGGCTATTTGGACCCGCGGGTCGGCAGTTTTGGGAAGCGGGTGCTGGCGCTCGTGAGAAATTAAGGCGCTCTCAACCGTGTCCAACGCCATAGAAGCCACTTTCTGGAAAAGATTCCATTTTTGAGGCAGGGGTTGATCCATGTCAAAATCAAAAGCTGGTTTTTGAGATGTTTCCTCGGCAGGCGATGTGGCTTTAGCAGGAGGATGATAATTCTTGGGAAAAGGGAGAGTCTGGAGGGAACAAGATACAGCAGGCTTTCCATTTCGAGATGACGACCTCTTCAAGGGAACAGAGGCCAAGTCCTTGAAGGGCAAAGAAGACCTGGAGGAAAGTTTAGTGTTAATCCATGTAGTGGAAGGTACAGTACCGGCAGAAGAAGCCATGTTTGTGTATTGTGAAGGAGTGAGCAGTGCTGTAGTCGAGTAGGCAGAGTGGAGAGAGGAGAGTATGAGAACGGAGTTCGAAATTTGGTATTGAAGAATGAAAAATTTGAATGATGAGTGAGAGAGAGAGAGTTGGGGGGGAATGGGGAGAGGAGGAGGAGTATATATAGGGAGGAAATGGACGTTAAGAGGAACGGGTGGCACGTGTAGGATAAGCGAAGCAGGGGACTAGAGAGAGAGAGAGAGAGAGAGAGAGGAGGGGGTTTGGAAAATAAAAAAGAAAAGAGAAAGGGGAAGGGCCAATAAGTGATGAAAACCATGTGGAGCTGTGAGATTGAGGGGCATAAGCTGCGTGATGAAATGCCACGATCACGCACTGTCTCGGGTGTCTCTCTAGAACCAAAACTAAAATAATAAAATAACAATGGTAATGGTGGGAACAAGAAGTCGGAGAAAGTTCCTGAAGTGGAGCGCAGTCACACATGAGAGGAGGGGGAGAAACATAGCAAGAAATGTGTAATTGTTGTTATGATGTTTGACCATATTGCTTCTTCATTCGCCCGTTGCCGAGGCTGATGAGTGATCCAAGAAAAAAGAAGAAGAAGATTTCTCCCTCGCTCTGATCTATTCAACTCATTTGCAAAGTTAGTAATTATAGTTTTAAAATACCTATTAAGGACCCTGCGCTGGTTCAATCCGTGTTTCTATGTTCTCATTGCATGTGCACTTAACAATAAATCACGTGACAATTTGAAAAGAATGTCTAGATTTCACTAAACTGGCAAGTGTGAACTGTATTAAATCCATGTCAAATAAATACTTTTTTGAGAGCCAGCTCATTATCTGTATTTTTACTCCCTCTAGTCCACATAGGATATTTTCTAGAAAGATTTTTTTATCTTTAACAAAATTTATAAGAGGATTATGTAGTACTATTTTTTAATTCTACCAAAAGTAAAAAATATTTTTCATTTGAAAACATATTTATAAGTTAACTGTTATTTTTGTAAGTCTATTAAATAATTAAAAATATTTTATAATAAAAATTGGATGCGTAGATTGGTGTAATGAGTAGGGTCGGTTGAGAAAGGAGGAAGGGAGTGGGTGGGGATGGTGTGTGAGGGAGTGAAGTGCAGTTGGGATGGACACGTCGATGACCGCGTCGGAGCCTCAAAGAGAGGAAGAGTGAGACTGGGAATACACGTGGCCATTTCTCTCATCTCCGTCACATCCTTGACCCCACACGCTTCCTCACTCCTCCCTTCCTCCTGCTTTCCCCCACTCTCAGCTACACTCCCATCCGTTTCGTCACCCTTCATTCATATGTTATCTTATTTAAATAATAATAATAATAATAATAATAATAATAATAATAATATTGTTTTAGGAATTATCTTGACACTATATTTCTTAATCCAGATTTGTCCATCCTCATGAGCCCTCTCTCCACTGACTTGGACTCCATGATGTCGGGGATGGAGTGGAATTATTATGTATTTTTATTCAATTAATTATAATTAATGTGTGTTAAGTAAGAGGCCCTTTGTTGGGAGCTCTTTTGTGCTGGCGACATTGTATCAGGACATTATTTAGACAACAGGTCATTCCAATAGCCATACTAAGTATGTCCTTATTACTGTCACTTATGGTGCTGCCGCCAAATCTTTTGCCCACTTTTAACAGCTGAATCAACAGCACTGGTTGGCTGTGCTTTCCAAATTAAACACTTTAAAAACGTGATTTCCTCTTCATTCCTTCTCCTTTCTCCTCATGTAATCCTTCTCCTATTTGTTCAATCATAGTACTTTGTTCATGTCTCGCTTGTTCTAACTGTACTTGTCTCAAACCCATTAACGGTAATTTATATATGCCTAAGAAAACGTGTTCCTTTTTCCACGAGATAATATAAATATAAAAAATGATATTATTTCCCCTTATTTAAATTTTCATATTCTATTACCATTCAACAATATGTATTTATTTTATGGTTTTAATATTACTCTGATTCTCTGAAGGTTATTTTCATTCATATAATTTTCTTTTTTCATTCCTAAATCCTAATAGTTATGTAGATGCGTGTAAAATAATTCCAAACCACACTATTCATATTCTCGCACAATGAGTGCTTTTTTATTTATTTTTTCCCCATTATTTTTAACCCTACGTACCTACCATACCGTACTCGACGAGAAAATATCTAGTTCAATTGAAATCTGTGGTGTACGCGTGAAACACGCAGGGTGTCTCGTTTCTTCCTGGGACATGACTTGTAAGGATTCAATATATATGTTTGTACCTTAATTAAATTCTAATTAGTAGTACTATTATATTACTATAGTAGACAACATTAACTTTTTTTAAGTTGTATTTTCTTTTATTTGTGGCACTTATAATTAATTCCAACAATAGCTTCAATGGACCGATATAAAATATAGAATAGTATATATTTCTTCAATTTCTTATACAAGACGAAATTACATATACTTTACATAAATTGCAAAACGGTTAAATAGTGTGTGTGTGTAAATGTATTATACTTTGTTACTTATATCCTTGTTTAATGCTCCTCACTTTCTTATCTCCATCTTTTTTTTATGGGAATGCTCTGGACCCAAAAATATTTTTTATTATAGGAAATGTTACCCATTTATTTAGCAGGTGGGGCCAAGTCTTAATTATTTTTAAAGACATTTTAGGAAACAACAGTAATTACTTCTAAAATTTTGTAAGATGACTTATAAATACAGAAAACAAGCATTTCAAAAATTTATCTTGTAAAAGAGATGGAGGGAGAGTCCTAAAAGCCTATTTAATTGCTGGCCCGAATATGAATAGAATGGATTAAAAACTTAAAAAAAATTAAAGTTATCAAAATGTAAAGATGATATGGGCCAATTATATTTGCAAAAGAAAACAATAATTTAGCTCGTGAAATTGAAAGTTATCATTTATGAAAAGATTTTTAAAAGGCATGGTATCCTTACATTTGTAGCATTGAGTTTTGCCATGGGCAAAAGATTACCAAGATATAAGTGTATAATTAGCTTATATATCATACTAAAATAAAAATTTTATATTTTTTTATTTCTTTAATTTATTTTATTCTCATTCTTTCCACCAAATATTTTTTAAAAGACAGAATTGACGCCTCCTAGACATCACGATTTTTTCCCTGAAATTTCATATAGTGTAAAGGTCTAATTAAAAGAAAATAATAAAGTTACATCCTTATCAATATAACACGATTTTTAGTGTGGCAATATGCGTTTAGTAATAGTATCAACATATATAATGCTGAAAAAGAAATAGTATCAAATGTGAAGTGATAGAAGACACAAATGGGATGAACTGATGAAGCCACAATGACGGAGGTTTTTGTGGTAATGAAGTTGGATCCTTCCATGAACGAAAAAGAAAGAGAGAAAAAAACAAACAGAAAAGAAAGCTGAGAATTATTTCCGTTGCTGCTATTATCCTTAACTTTTTCAAATTCAATCGTGTGCTCCAACAAATATATCCCTGTATGTGATTTGGCAGCATTGTTAATGTTGATTCTGCCAGCCACGTGTAAGATTCTCATAGAAGATAAACAACGTTTTAACGCATGGCATCAATCAAGTGATCAATCACCACTGCTTCTGTGTTGTTCATCGGTCGAGTTGTTGATACTTCCACTTACATGTGTCAAATTTATACCATATATATTCATTAGAATCCCACTTTGAGTACGTTTGATTGTTCAAAATGATGAGAATGAAATGAACAAAAGAAATTAAATAAAAATAAAAATAGAATGATAAAAAATGTGAAAAGAAGATGGGTCAAGCATGTTTATAAGAGAATGGGTATTTTAATTTATGAGAATGAGATTTATGATTTATGAAATTTATAAAGAGTATGATAATTCTTATATATATATACATATATATATATATATATTATTTGTACAGTTGGTTTTTTATGAAAAAGATGATAAGATGAATATGCAATCGCTTTATCGTGATAAAATGAAAACTGTATTTTTGTTTTCTTTCTTAATTAATCCCTTCAATTATTATCCTTTTAAGCAATCAAATCGTTTTAAATTATTTTAACTACTCCCTCCTCTCTGACTTTCAGATCCAACCTCTTAAAGGTGCTTCAAAAATATTTCTGTTTTGTTTTTAATATAAGGTGTTTCAAATTATTATACCGATCTTTAGTTTTTTTAACTCAAAATTCCTTTTTTATGAAATAAGGTTAAAAGTACATAAATTTCAAAACATCTTCAATGAATGAAGGTAATTTTGGAAAAAAAAAAAATCAAATGTGAGATATTTTAAATGAGGTCAACCAGCTTTAACTAAAGTCTTTAATATGTGTGAGGTGGTTGATGGACTCTTGTAATTAATTAAGAAAGACTGAACAACGGAGTACATTAGTTTTTACTTTTCATCTCTATCCCTAATAAATTTGATAAATTTAAAATTTTAATACTTTCTCTGTCCTTTTATTGAAAATTGACAAAACAAATAAATTTAAATAATTAACATTGCACACTCTCATTAAGTGATCTATAATATGGACCGATATATATATATATATATATTTTAGAACGTCACCTATATAAAGCTGTGGAGAATACAAAATCAATTTGATGAACTTGAGAACTTTATTTTTTTCCTCGCCATCGATCGACTTGAGATTGAGAACTTGATGTCATAACCCTTTTACATAAAATGACGTCATGCATGATGCAAACGAACTCGGGCACCACATTGAAGAGTTCTTTCGAAACAAAACAAACAGATGGGTTTGTACATACGAACAAATTAATCATGTCTCGTTCATATACTTCATAGCCGTTTGATCGTTTCAACATTTATCGTGTTCATATTCATGATGATTATATGTGTGTGAAAAAATTAATTTTTTTAATCCTTTAATTTTTAATTAATTTATCATTCAGTCTCTCAACTATAACTTATTAAGACTGAATAATTTTTATTAATTTTTTTATGTTAATTTAAATCTCATATCAAGAAACAAGAAAATAATATTTTAAAATAAAATATAAGTATTTTTTTTATCTTTCTTATTTTATAAAAAAATTTAAAATAAAGATTAAGTTATAGGTAAGTTAAAA